TGAAGTCGTTGAGTAATTCCAAATTGCTCAATGAGATAGGCGCATCCCGCTGGGATCTCTTCCAAATAGGTGTGACTGCGATTGTATTGCCGACTGGCTGGATGGCGAAAACCAAGTCTGACGGCTGCTTTGCGGGCAAGAAGAGTGTACAGTTGTTGCACCATCAAGAGCGACAAGGCTTTACAACCCTGTTGCACTGGATCTATAAAGCCATCGTCGGGGTTGTAGAGGTCACTGGGGCAGGAGGTCAACCGCAAAAGCTTGTCCCAGTTAAAAAAGGCACGGCTGAGCCATTTCTGGAACCTCACTCGGATGCTCTCTAAGTTGACCTTTACCAACTTGGGTGGCTCCAGCTCAGTTGCAGGCTTTGGGTGAAATTTTGTCTCTGCAGTGAGTCTGTACAAATAGTCTTCCATCGACGTTGGGCCGCCATCATACCTCATTGTCGATAGATTGTGCTGCCAGGCAGCACGGCACACACTCTTTTTGGATTGGAAAGGCGAACAACTTTATGGGGAACGATAAAAGCATGGACAGAATGGGGGCAAGTCGGCAATGACGCCATCGTGTCGCAACGGATGCGCTGCGGTCTTTGGCGAAGCATCGCATCGGTTACGAGGTGCGACAAAAATCCAAGTTCAAATAAATGAAATTGGTGCAAAAGAATTTTGGCGCGGGAGTTGATTTGACTTTGGGCGGTTGTGGCTGTGGTTAGCGACCGAGTCCTGGCTTATCACGAAACGGGTTTCTTGTTCGACTCCGTGGAGTGGGTTATTATAGATTGGAAATAAGCTGGTGTATTGGCAAGCTGGCTGCCGCTATCGTGGCGTCGCGATTGATGGTGATGATGCGTGGTTTATCCTCGTCTATAGTCAGAACTAACAGCTTGGTGAGAAGCCTGCCTTTGTGGAAAAGCGAGCGATTCTTCAAAATGATGCTCGGGGTTCCAGTCGGCGATTCACCCGCTGTGGCGTTGATTCGATGCAAACAAGAACAACGCCCCACCAGACACCGCCAGGAATGATTCGATTAGATTCGATTCAGTTAACTTCAGACACTCTGAGGAACCTACTCCTAGCTACTATTGTTCAGGAAGCGAAACAGCAATCAGAAACTGAAAAAAGGAAGTTCCCTTCTTCCAGTTGCAGCACATTGACACATTGTAGGAATCTGATTTGGGTACATGATCCGGAAGGCGTATCCATCGACTCAAATGATGATGAGGCCAAGCATACGGGTCGTCCTTGGGTTCTCGTGCCGGAACATCCACTAGCAAATCATTGACAATCAGCTTGTTTCCTCTCAATAGAGACACACCAAGCCATTTCATGTCCGGTTCGTTCAGGATCTGAACTGTCCGGTTGCCCTTGTCGCATGCTGGCAGCACGAATCCATTCTTTCGATCCGCTCGGAGCTCGTCCGTTTGTTCCCAAGTCACAGTGGGCCACGTGGTTGCAATCTCTTGCCGATGCCCAATCTGCAGACTGGACAATCGCACTTTTGGTTCCCAGGAATTGAGACTGGCAATTTTGGCGTTTTCATGGAACAAATCGGTCCACAATGCCTGGTCTCGGTCGTACCATGCGATTGACTTGTGGGGTGGCCATGAATTAGTAATACTGGCAGCGGTCTTACTCGTAGGGAGAGGGCATGATCCGCTGCTGGGCCAATTGGAGTAAAAGGCATGTTGCAGCATGTCGGCTACAAAATTCGTCATGAGACAGGAAGGATGAACGGGGTCGTCATGAAGCATACGATGGTGCTTTTGCAGAGAGGGCGTAACCTCTATGGGAGCTCCTACGTCCACCACGGCAATTTCCCAGCCAGCAGTTCGGTACGATTGAATCAGAGCACCAACATGATCTCGGGTGTGTGAATCCAAGTCGACCAACATGCCGTTCTTCTGCTTGAACCATTCGGGTGGCCACCAATGCAGCAAGATCAGGGGCGGAGGAGGTTTCCCATTTTGGGCATACAGAAGTCTAACTCGTGTCAACCAGAAGTCTAGTTTTCGAATCTCTTCTTCCGTGCCGCCTCGATTCATCTCTTCCCATAGGGGGCTGTCTATATGTAGAAAGAAAAAGAGTATCCCAATCGTTAGAATCCCCACCCAGATACTCTTGATGTTTGATCATTGTTACCGGTGCCAATTTAATTAATTTTTCAAAACGTACCATTGGGAGCGTGATCCCATATAATCACATCGGTCTGTTCCGGGATAATCAAAGTATCCAATTGCAGCGCACTCAAAACGGACGTTGTGGCTCCCTGCGCCACATTCTGCACCTTCATCTCAAAGGCAGCATCCTTATTGCGAAACCGTTGTTCCAGGAGGTCACTGTAACGACCTTCCAATGGATTGTTGTTATTGGTAGCAGTACTACTACATTGTTGTCCTGCCCGGGCCGCCATGGATCCTCCCACGACCGTGACACGAAGACGACGACCATGGCGAAGAATCCGTTCCAGAACACAGGGACTCCATTGGACGGGGTATCCCTTGTCGAGGACACGTTGGCGTTGAGTGAATTTGGTGGTCAGGACAGAATCACTTTCCAGTTTTTGCAGGGCTGCCTTGACCCGGGAAAATCTTTGTTTCTTGTCATTACTATTATCCAATAATACTACCCATTCACCATTATTATTTTGTGTTGTTTCAGTCGGGGCATCTCCTTCTACAACACGGAGACGATGCACTATTCGTACGTTACCAAGCGCTACCAACGCAATCAGCAATGCTACTACAAGTTGAGGCAGCCTTCGCGAGCACTTCTTCTTGGCAGCTGTCATTCAGCCAGAACAGGACAGCACAGCAGAGGTCCGGTTCACGAATCGTCTACCTTGTAGCTACCAAGATCCACTGGCCATTCTACATACATGCATCCAGATTGGTAAGCACTCGGTTGCCAATCTTGGTAAAACCATAGATACAATATTTCGCAGGATACTACCGGTAAACGTACCCTCTCCCATTACCGGTAACATTGGAGGACGCTGCTGCGATCGGACACTGGTCTCTTTGAGAAATTATTAAACGAAGTGAGAATGAACCGTGCTTCCACACCGTGGTGTGATGAATCCAATTAGAGAACGCAGAAATTGCTTCCAAGCCAATTAGAAAACCCATTTTCTCCAAGACCCTCGACTGAAACCAAGATCTGCTTCCGTATTAGACTTAACATTGGCGACTGCTCTTTTGGAAACTGGAGTTTTTTGGGGATGATAGCTTTAAATACCATATTGTCAGAACGTAAGCTTTCTGACCGTACCCCGCTAGAACGTGTTGAACTCTTCGTGCAGTTTTTGGTTTTTTAGGTTTTGAAATAATCACTTAGGATGAGGTATATTTATTAATTAATGTTTGTAATGCATTACCTCAGCTACGCTACCAACACTCTTTCATATTCTTTCATTGACACCAGTTATCTTGCACTCGTTCCAAGTTATCTTGCACTCGTACCAAGGATCATTGGTACCAACAACAAATGCAAGGGCGGTTGCTGTGAACGATAGCTGAACGATTCAATTTGTGTGTCTATCAACACACCAACCTCGTTAAAGAGCAGGCTCCGTGTTCGTCCAGTGTTGGGCGACAAGTGGATGCTGTTTCACGACTATCATAAAATCTAATTCAATTCATCGTTCCCTGGCAAGCACCTTCACTGACTCGACTCTCTGACTGACATGATGACTGAACCCGCTGCACCCTCCACAACCGAGCTCTTGCGCTTCAGTGACGCTGCCGTTGCCAGCGGATACCAACCACTGGACGAGTCGGATAGCTACAACAATGACGGCGGATACCTCCCACGACGACGCCTGGGACAACTCGGTGGTGGTCGAATGATTCCTTGTCGCAGAACATCCAGCAACATTATCCAATTGACCAGTGTGCACGCTCGATTCTCCCTCGCCAGTGTGGCCTCGAGCATTACCTGTGGCGACTTTGACGACGAGGAGGACCAGTTTGGCGACGACGAAGAAGAGTTCGACAATGACGACGACAAGGAGCTCTTGATCAGTGACTTGCTCGTCGTCTCCAACGAACAGAAACGAGGCTCTCAATTCAACAGCCTCAACGACAGCATGCCCACGCTTCCTCTGCGACGAGACAGCTCCCATGTGCGCCACGATAAGGTCCCACAAATGCCGGGACGACGAACCAGTACCGTCAGTTGCGAAGCAGCCAAACGATCCAGCACCGCAAGAAGCAGTGGCACCCCCAAGTCGTTTGCCGTTGACTGCTGCGACGATGATACCACAAGACGCATTATGGCGACCATGGCATCCTTCCGACAACCTGCTACCCGAGTGGCGGCATAGAGGGCGAGAGCTTTTCTTCCCTTTGAACACTGAACAAAATATTGATAGACTCTATACTAGAACTTCATATTCTTATACTCGCTACATTGAATCCTCTGGTACTTTCATCCATCCACTTGCCTTGGAAATAGCATGTCTTCTCTAGCTACGGTCGGTACATCCAAGAGACCTGTGTTGATCTGTTCATGCATCCCTCGTCACTCGCTCCTCCTCGCCACACTGAGAGGTGCCTGGCACCATGACGCCCGCACAGCAGAAGAGGCCAGATGAGCGACTTTGCTTGTAGTTCTGCCTGACCTGCAGCTTTGGTGGTTTACTCCAAGGCAGCCTTACTCTTGCCATTAGGAACAGCCTTTTGGATCTCAAGACGATTCCAGCCAGCAGAATTTGGTCCAGCAACTCAAGGAGAGGTTTGACATTGCCGCACTCGTCTATGCCACAATGGACCTGGATATTTGGTAAAAAGTAGTACCACCCTGTGGGGCCATTCGCGCTGAGATCAAGAGAAGATTGGTGCTTCAAGTGCATCGCCCTTAGTCCAACCAGGACAACTGCTCTCTAGCATAGTTGCTCTTTGAGTTTTAACAACGCGAACATTTGATTGCTGCCCCTATAGCTGGCACAGTACAACCCCATGTCCTCAATAGCATGAATCTACTTGTCAATCAAATACAGTTTTGTCTGCTTGGTCTGGCTGCTCCTGTGGACAGCTATTGGTCTTCCATTCTTGTTTCCCTTCGTCTGAGGGCATGTGTTCTCGTCTACTGGGTGGGAACACAGTTTCCTCTGGTGGAGTGGCTGTGTTTTCCTCCGACACTTGCTCCTTGATAGGGACTTGTTCCTCCCTCGAACCTTCTTGTATTAATCCACTTGCTCTCCCACAGAATTCACCAGTGGATATGATGACTTGCGTTCCTCATGGTTGTTGCTGCTGCCTGACAGCGCCATTGCATCATTATCATTGCTGCTGCTGCTGCTCGCTTCTTCATCATAAAACGACGGAGCCCCTGACGTGCGCTGGGCTCGAGATATCTCGTTCTCATCACCATCTTCAGGTGGCTCACAACCAGACAAGTTGGTCCCTTGAGGTCCTGGATTCGTACCTGTGCTTTCGTCGTTTGGTTGCAAACTACTATTGAGCACGCGGGTGGACTTTTGGTTGGTGGAGCTGGTGGGCTGGACCGTGTTTTGCAAATGTGCCGTGCGGCGGGTGGTGGGTGCCGGTTTGCCAGAGAGCACCTGTCGATACGCCCAGAACCACGATCGGTCTGGATTGGCATCTTTCCATCGCAGTAGTCTCGGCCGTGTGTAAATCATAGCATTCCAGAATCCCTGAATGGGAAAGAAAATGTAAAGAAGAATCAGCGGCCAGACAATAGTGGGATCTTCGTAGAGCCCAAAGAATGCCGAGAAGAAGCTGACGGCAAAGGCGGATGTGTAGCAAATGGCCTGATTGCGGACCGCCTGTATTCTTTTGAGTTGTGTTTCGGATATTGGATTGTGGGCACTGGAATTGCGGAGTAGTTGCTGGCGTACTGTCAAGTACACCCGTATGGTGGCCCAAATTCCCGACAGGGCGGCAATTACCAAGACTGTGATTTGCAGTAAGCCCAAAATGAAGGACGAAATTCCTCCTCTTTCGCACTCTACATTCTCATCATCCAGACAATTTCCCGGAAAGGGACTTCCAATGTCACAGGTTCCAATGTAGGGCAATGGATTGAATCCCTGGATGGCTAGTCCAGTGATTCCAAACAACAGGGTCGCCGAGATCGCCAACACGTGACAGTAGGGTTCCATGGTCTTGGAAATTCGTTGTTCTTGCAATCCGTGTTTGACCGTGAGCAAAAAGTAAATACTGAGGGTGGCATTGTAGATTGCAGATCCCACCCAGGCTTGATAGAAAAAGCCGGCGGCGGTACAACTCTGGGCATTTCCCACGGCAAAAAAAAGGCCAATATCGGAGCGATTGGCAAAGGGCATGGATGCGGTTGCAGTGGTCATGATCAAGTCCATGATGCTCAAGCCCATCACAATGCGATGGTAAATCTGATCCAGCTTTCGGTTGACAATCACAATGTAGATGATCGACAGAGAACCCAGAATGGACAAGGCGCAAGAGGTCTCTGCCACTATTACGGAGGCCGTATATTGGGACCTCGACAAGGAGAGATACACAAACTGATCATCAGCTGCGCTACCGGTACTAGTGGTCTCGTTGCTCATTGTAGATAGAGAGTGGGTAGACTACAATACGAAAGTGTTTTTGTGTTTGTTTGGGGTAGTTACTAGTAGGGCTTAGAGACCAAGAGGAGAAGTTTCCATGCTAACGGCTAGCTTGCAATCATCGTGAAAAAAGACGTGGCGAATGGCGAACAATTATTAATCTGGCTTCCGTGGATTACAGTGTGCATACACCCCTGCTACCGGTATCGTTGACCCCCTTTCAATAACATATTATGATTACGTGGCCACAGGTACGGTATGATAGCACCTCGTGCGGACAACCAATCCAAATCGTCCATACCTAGTAGTGGCTTCGCCGGCTTCTGAATCACTACATGACATTGAAGGATTGGGCCCGTTGGTAGCAGCTTGCCAAAGACTTGAGTACCCTGGATCACAAATGCAGTGGATGCAAACCTCTGGGTGCCACCACAACTTTATATTTGAGCTCTATGTGGCTGATGTGATGTCCTTTCTTCAATCACTCACCAGGTTGTCTTGCTTCTGTGACAGTGCTAATCGTCCCTTTCCAACGGTACTCGTCAAAGAGCACATAGTAGATCTAACACAACTGGATCTTGGTACTATTAATAACAACAAAGACGAGAGATCTTCTGGTCTCTCCTTGGGCAAGCGGCGGGTGGACTGCCAATATAAGCTACACAGTAGAGACGAAGATACTGCCTGTATGTCAGTTACAGTATGCATTAGTGGGTTTTATTAACTAATGGGTCTCCAGCCACAGCCCCAGGATCAGTTCCCATGACTGACCCACGGCAAACAACCACAGCTCTGAGGCACGTACCGTACGGTAGCAATGGATTCGCCCAAAGCATGCTACTAGTAAGGGTGGCTGGGCACCTTGAGCTTTGGAAAGCAATGAGTTTGAAGCAAGAATAGCCCCGATTATTTTAAGTCGTTCGCTAGACCTCACGGACGCGTCGTGGCCATGTTCATCCATAGCCGTTTCGCCGGCTTCAAAATCAAAAGCTGGCCACATGGCATTGGCTTGGCGAGAAGGATTGAATTGGCATGGATGGATGCAACCTCTGTGAGAGACCGGGTATGCATAGATGATGTATGTGATGTTCTTTCTTCACACAATCACCACTTGTTGAATGGTTGTCTTCTGCGACAGTGCTGGTCTTCCCATTCGAGTAATGCCAGTACGCCAGAGAGCACGTAGGTCAAGTAGAAGCTTTCACCCCGAGCGAGTATACTTTGGTCTGGATCTGGCTGGGTACCGGCAGCAACGAGGATGAGAGATCTTCCGGTCTCTCCTTCCTGAGACAGACGGCGAACTGCCAATGTGAGCTGCATAGCTAGCAGAGACAAAGATATGTGTGTCAGTCATAGTATGCTTTTAGATGGGTTTTATTTTTAAAATGGGTACTATCCAAACATCGGTGGCAGCTTCCCCAGTTCCCCAGACGGACCCAGGGCAAACAACCACAGCTCACCGTAGCAATGGATGCGCATCCGATGCAAAAAATGCATTGCATGCCAAGCAAGAAGCTGCTAAAGGGGGGCACCTTGTTTAGCTTTTGAAAGCAATGAGTTTGAAGAATAGTAGCCACCTTGAGCGAGGTAGCTAGAACTTGCAGTACAGGCGGTAGCCGAAGGGAGGAAATTGGGAAGCGCCCGCTATCGATATGCATAGCGACCACTGCTGCATTTGATAGCAACACAGGTACCGATGGTTTCTCATTGTGGGTTGTTACCTAGCTAGCTAGCTAGCTAGCTAGTAGTTGCTACGGTACATGCCCTGTGAGGGATAAGGCATAGATGCGACCCCAACCGCGTCTCGAATCTCCAAGAGGTTCTTTGATCTTGTCCTTACGTGACATGCCACACTTATGCATCCATGCAAACCAGGTTCGCATTGAGCTTGTAGGTGAGGTAAATTATAATAAACTTATTTGTATAAACACTCCACCTACCTGATACTTTGTCGGGACTAAGCTCTTACTGACTCATTTGTTGGAAGCAAGCGTTGTCCGTTCAAAGATCGTTGAAAGTGCTGCTCAGAGCTCATTCATCTATCTTTACTACATGCTAACATACATTGCTGGGGTTGGAGCTACTACGGTATATACTCACCCAAGCAAGAAGTTAGTTAGTCCAAGGAGTCGCAGAGCTGCACAAAGGGTTTGGCTTGGTTAGACGAAGGCAAAAGAGAAAGGGGGATCAGCAACAGCCAATTTCCTGTTACTATAGTACAGGTAGCATCACATCACCCGAACCATCCATTCTACTACAGATACCTCCAAGAGAGTTCAGTTCAGTCGAGTTGAGTATAAGTAGTAAGAATAAGAAGAAGAAAGATGACCAAGAGAGCTCAATTTCGACTGAGCTACAATGTGGTGGAACAAGGCGGAGTTCGAGGTCGTCCCAAGGAAGTGGCGACACTGAAGAAACTCTATCATGATTGCGCCCAAGTGAGCAAGGTTCTGATAGTAGAAGGCAAAGCCGGAGTGGGCAAGACGGCTCTGATTACGTCTCAACAAACGCATTTCTTTCACGATTCTGGCCACTTTGTAATGGGCACCTTTGAACAGCAACGGAAATCAGAGCCCTTTAGTGCCATTGTCGACGTCTTGCACGAGCTGTTTGAAGAGCTGCTCAGTGAAGAGTGTTCACTCGACGACAACTCGGCCGTCAAGGCCATTATGGAACAATTCGCCAAGGAATCCAAAAATGATGCCGGCATGAAAGCCGTACTCCAAAATGCCATTCCCAAATTTGCCGAACTCGTGCAAGCCAAGAACGATGAAACGCGATTGCAACAAGAAGCCTTTGATATGAGTGGACACTCGTTTGGAACAACTAGTAATGCACTCAAAAAAACCAAACGAGATCGAAACTTGTCGGCCAACAAACAACAACCACGAACCGCTGCGGGTGGCTACAAAAAACGAGGATGGAACTTTGAAAAACTCAAAATATCACTCCGGTTGCTTCTCAGATGCATTTGTTCCCCCAAACGACGCGTCGTCATTTTCTTGGATGATTTGCATTACGCCGATCCTTCCAGTCTCGAATTGATTGAATTCTTGGCATCTGGCGATGGACTCTCTCCCGTACCCAATAGCGACGATGCCGAAGATCACGACAAGGTCGTACAGGGCCTGCTACTGATACTGGCATATCGCAACGTTAGTTCCAAACCCGGCTCCAAAGAAGGCGCTATTACCATTGGACATCCCTTTCGAACCCGGCTCAAAGAGCTCAAACAAATGAAATGCCCCATTCATCGGATACACGTCAAAGATTTGGATTTGGATGCCGTCAATGAGATTGTCTCCACCGTCACGCGACACACCAACAAACCCGAAACCACCGTACCTCTTTCCGAAGTCCTCTACAAAAAGACGGGTGGGAATCCCTTCTCGGTCCTTCACACACTCGAATATTTGGAGCACGAACAACTCCTCTACTTTTCACTCTCCGATTATCAATGGAAATGGAAAAATGTCCGCACCATTCATTCCGCCACCGATCTCTCGGATAGTATCGTCGATATGGTCGCCAAGAAATTCCAAAAATTGCCCCAAGCCACACAACAAATACTCATGCTCGCATCGTGTTTGGGCAGTTACTTTCGACTCGAAGTCATTGCCGCGTATTTTCGAAAACACAATAGTGACAACTCGTATCATCAACAGGATTTCGGTGCGGCCGTCAAGGAATCGCAAGAATTGTTTCGGGACAAATGTAATAGTGACGAAAAGAAAGATGTCATTCCCGATGACGACGACGACGATCAATCCGTCATGACGATCAACGGAGCCGTTGCCAAACGATCCAGTCTACTCGACACCATGATCAAGTTACTGGAACTACCACTCCAACAAGACATGCTCACCAAACGACGCAAATCAACAACCTATTTCTTTGCCCACGAACGATTGCAGGAAGTGGCATACTCGTTATTGCCCAATGATAAAAATGGCAAAAAGACACGCAAGGAAATACACTGGCGATTGGGCAAGCTCATGAAGGAAAAGAGTCTACAGTTCCCGGAAGAACATTGGATGGCATATCTCGCCACGGATCAACTCAATCGAGGATTGATAGTGCTGGAAAATGCCGACGAGAAAGTCGAATTGGCATCCATGAATTTGCAAATTGCTCTCATGTCACAAGAGAAATCGGCATTTTGTCCGGCGGCAGAATTCTTGCGCAGTGCCATTCGATTGCTTTTGGATTCCGACAGCAACAACAACAGCAACAACAACAACAATAGCAGTAGCAAGAAGCCAAGCGGCGTGGAAGATCCCGTACCCAAACAAAAAGCCAATCCGTCGCCGGCACCCACCAGTTTGTACTCGTGCAGTCGAGAGCATCACAAACACGTTTGGGGGGAGCACTACGATCTCTGTCTCGACTTGTTCAGTTCGTTGGCGGAAATGGAATACTTGCTCGGCAATCACAAAGCTTCCAAAGAAGCCGTCGAAGAAGTGCTCAATAATGCAAGAGACGAAGAAGCCAAATTCCGGGCACAGGTCATTCTCATTGACAGCATTTCGGCGCAGCGGGATTTTGAGAGTGCCATTGAAACCTGCTTGAAAATTCTGGCGGTCGCCCATGACATGAAACTCTCGGCGAATCCCATGAAGTTGCAAATCATGAACGAAAAGAAAAAAGTCAACAAAATGCTCGAACAACAGATTCAGTTGGATGAATCCAGAGGATCGCTCGACTTTAACGACAGCAGTGCTTCCTTAGGTTCCTGGGCAAACTCGAGCTTTGGGTCCATGCCGGGGTCTGCCCGGAGTAATACTGCCGTGAGTTCCTCCGTCAACTCGAGACCCGTGCCCGTCCAGAGGGTCAAGTCACACATCCCCGAAAGCTGGAGCTCCTCTGGTCACAAACCCAACGCGATTGGACGTGTCAAGTCCGTGGGAGGCAAACCCAACATTCCCAAGAACGATTCGCGATTCGGCGCCAACGTGCCCAAAAACGAAGGACGATTCCGCAAGGCTGTGTCGTCCGAGGCCAGCAAGATTACCAGTTTCTTTCACAAAAAGTCAGAAAAGGCCATGATGACATTGCCCAAAATGACAGACGAGAAGAACATTCGCGTTTCCAAATTGCTGAGTCAACTCATGTTGAATGCCATTATTTCTGGAAAGACGGATTTGGCAGCTTACATTGGACTCCGATCCATTCGCTTTTCCTTTCAACATGGCATTAGTCCACATTCTCCCATGGCACTGGCAGCGTATGGGATATCCCAGGCCAAGGAGGGAAAGTACAATGAGGCCTATGCGAACGGGATGCTGGCATTGAAGCTCTTGGATGTTGCCGACAGCAAGGAATGGTACACCCGCACTATATTGAAATGCCACAATCTGCGTCACATCAAAAAGCCATTTCACGAGAGCCTCGATCCAATGATGGAAGGCTATCGTACGGGGGTTGAATCAGGGGATATGGAATACGCACTAGTTGCGGCAATGCACTACTCGTTGATCTACATGTTCGTCGGTCTTCCCGTGGGACCTTTGGAGCAAGACCTCATGGCCTTTGCTGAGCAAGTCCATCGATATCACTTGCCATACGTTTTGGAAGTGACCTTTTATATCTATCGAGAATTTCTGTTGGACTTGCAGGGAGAAGAACACGACAAAATCCTTCTCGACGACTATGGCAGCAGCAGCAACATTGATCCTATGGATCGCTCTATGGAGAGTAACGTCAGTACAGCATCGGTGGGACCGGTTGAAGCTTCCAATGTTGACAAACGAGTGCGTCCGTTGGTGCAGCGGGAAATGTGTGTCATGAACATTCAGAAGTACTACATTTTCGGAGAGTTTGAAGAGGCTGAGAAAATGATGAATCAGTTGGGTGAACTGCCAAAATTTGACTACTCGGTCCTGCGAACAATCAATCGGGACGCCTTTTTCGGGCTGGTGAATTTTGCATTGGCCAAGTCCACGGGTAAAAAGAGGTACAGGGACCGTGGCCAAAAGATCATTGAGGAGTTCAAGACGTACGTCAAGAATGGGTCGGTGAATAGTCATCACATGCTGACGCTGTTGCAAGCAGAAGATGCTGCGCTCAGCTCGACCGGTGATTGGAATGCCGTGACCAAGGGATACGACGAAGCAATCAGATGTGCTGCCCGGGCTGGATTTACGAACCACGAAGCAATAGGCAATGAACGCGCGGGTCGTTTCCTCGTGGGCGTGAAAGAAAACAACAAGAGGGCCAAAGAAGACGACGCGGTGGCGGATCAAGCCAAGGCGTACATCTCGCGAGCCATGGCTCTTTACAGGGAATGGGGTGCAACGGCCAAGGTGGATCAGTTGGAGGATCAGTTTCCGCAGCTGCAGCCGTCGAAGTTGATGCAGGGATCCAACATGAAGGCTCGGCGTCGTTTTTCAAGGACGCTGACGGCTCGTTTCCGAGATATGAAGCTGCATTCGGGGAGGTGGAGTGTGGGTGCCAGTAGCGATCTAAAGATTTTGGATGGCTTTGACGACCTTCGAGGAGACCAAGAGAAACCTGACAATGACAATGGAAAAGCGATTGATCCTTACGGGTTCTCGAGATGAGGAGGAGTCAACGACGCAGCTAGCTAGATTGATCACAATAGTGTTCCGAACTATTGTGTCTTGCGAACTAGACTTCCGCTCTGCTTTTCCGCATTCCTATCCGTACACCTACAGCTGTAGCTAGCCCACCGAGGTGACGCATGACACAGTGATAACGATTGGTACCCAAGGGTTGTATTCACCTGGTGGGTGGAGAAGCGGCATTCCTTACGGAAGTGGAGGCACCCTCAGCTGCAACCGTGCCAACAATATCGGCGATTCCAAGCTCAGAGCAAATTGAGGCTATCGAAGGGGCATCCCCTCGACAGACGATTTCTAAAGAATAGTCTGGCTTCAGGCTGGTCAACCAGCTTTGGCTACCTAGCTAGCTAAAGCAGCACCCAGATTCGATCCGACTTCAATCTGGTTTTCCATTGGCTTGAACAAGGCAGGATGGAAGGAAATGAGCAGTCGTGGACCCACTGAAAGACGCCACGCACCGTGGTGAGGAGCCCTTTCAACAGGACGTTCGTTCCGGCTCGCTCTTCAATCTCTACGGTAGAATCGAATCTATCTGACCCACAGCCCATACCAAGTGACCTCCATTTGCGCAGCCTGGTCACGACCACCACTTGCCTGCCAGAGCTTGACCTAAAATGGATGCTACTATGATTATGAACTACCAGCTAGTACGACTACAACTACTATAAAGATTGAAGCCATGATTTTTGTTGTTTGTAAAGATTGTCTACTATGTGTTATTGCTTTATGTTTATGTTTGGTTGTATTTAAGATTGGAGCATCAACAATGATAGAGGTTGGTTGTCGGGTGTCACGGGTATTATCTTTGGACTTTCGTCGCGTGGAGGACGTTCGGACAAGCACTCTGCAATAGAGGCTGCCTAGCACAGGAACCACAAACCTGGCTACCTTCGATGTGACCCTTCAATTGAACCAACTGTATTCATCTCCGCAAAATTTGTTGTATAGCCCTGCACCCCACCAGATGCTTCCTCGTTGTGTGTTGTATTTACGTGTTAGTAGTCCCACAATCCGTCGCCGCCGCCCCACTTACCTGTTGTCCTAGACTGGAATGTACCGGTCAGGCTTTCTGACTTGCCGCCCAGAAAGAGTTGTTGTTGTCTGAACTGTTGTTTGCTGCTGTGTGTCCGTCACAGGGTGTGTCGTCGTTGTCTTCTTTTTCTTGCCTTTCACCTTTGGCTTTGTCGACTTTTTCTTGGTGGCCGCCGCCCGTCTACATTTAATATTTCTAGGTTGTTGAACTGCCACCCTCCGTGGCTTCGTCTTGATTTGTTCTGCGATTCTCTGAGATGCAATCGCCGCCATGCGTCTCTTTGATCGTCGCAAAGTTGATTGTGCTGTGTCCACATTGTCCTCCTCATCAACTCGGTTGTTGACCAGTGGTTCTTCAGCATCAACTCGTTGTTGTTTCTCCACCTCGACCAATGGTTCTTCAGCTACCACTTGGCCAGTCACAAATTCGTAATCCATCTCGTCCGAGGCAATGCCTGCCTCCAATCTTGGTGTCTTGTGCTGCCGAATCAGTTCCTTGACAATGTCTCCACCATCTTCCATCAATGCCGCAAGAATGTCGTTGGGTACCACTCCAAGTAGCACACCATTCATCATTCGCATCTCCAATACTAATGGTTGTTGTCCATGCATACTGATCTTGAAGTGTTTCACATGCCACTTTTGAACGTATGGAACTACTGCTGTGCATGTGGGAACCACCGCTGCTTTGCATGTGATTGTGGCATCGGATGCCATCTTGTTGTTGTTGTCGACGGTTGAGACTGTTTCTATTGCCTCGATGTCTCTAGTTGTTGTTGGTTGTTCTTCTTCTACTACTATAGGTGCTGCATCTTCCATGCAGACATCCTTGACCTTGCGATAGACAAATCGTCGTTTGGCAATCTGTTCTCGCGTATTCAAGGTGCAAATTTCGTCGTCAGCGTTGCGCTGAATTCCTCCGTGGTGCAAGTGGCACATGGCGAGTTCGAACATGTAAGTGTTCTTTTTGTTGACCATGAACCAGTGGGCGACTTGCTTGTCGTTTCCTTTCTTCGCCTGGATGAACTTGACGAGCTTCTCGAGGTCTTGATGCATGGCATCAATTTGAATGTACAGTTTGGCTTTTTGTAGGTATGCTTTGTCGCTTTGGAACCATTGGTTGTTGGCGATCCATTTGGCCACTTGTTGGTATCCATACTCTTGAATCAACTGCACGAGATCCAAGACGCGTTCGTGGGGTGTCTGTGCGCCGACGGAAATGAATTGTTGTTGGGCTTCCTGCCACAATTCGTATCGGGCCTGTGGCACATGTTTCTTCATGTCTCGATAGACACGGCTGTTTTCCTCTTGTTCGCTCTTGTCAGAAGAGTACCCCCCTACAGTGTTGACGGGAGCAAAGGATAAACGGTTTCCATTGCTCCGTTCAGTGTCTTGACCGTAATGGGTCTTCCAGCGAGCGTTGGCTGATTGACTGGGTTGGATGCGGCAGCCTTTGGGCCGGTGCTGGTTGTAGTTGTCGTATCCGTAGTGACCATGCTGATCCAAAGGAACCAGGGAAAGGTCGTAGGCACCTAGGTAGCGACCGTGCTGCTGGAACTCCACATAAGGACTCGTTCCGTACAGGTGCAACAGTGCCGCGGTTTCGACAACATCTTTGTCCAACTCGTCCAGTTGGAATGTTGGGACTTCCTCTGCCGCAGGGACGTCCTTGTTGTCGTTGTTGTTGCCCATAATCTCCTTGGCGACCTGGAGAACGGGGGTCTTCTTGATGTTGCTGTTGTTGTTGTCGGTGGTCCATGACCACGAGAGCAGCTTGATGATAGAAGAAGAGAACTTCATTTGCAATTGATAGGTATTGAATAGAAGATTGGTAGGAAAGGTAATTGAAAGTAGACTTGAATAAGGTCTGGGGAGGTTGATCTGGCCTAGGCTTATCAACAATCGCGAAAGTCTTCCTTGTTCGGTTGGGTGTGCAACTCTAGCAATCCGGTTGAACAACAAAAGTGAGCTCATCATGGTGATCTTCCAATTTCCACCCCAATTTTCAGATGACAGATTCTGCCAGATGGATTCTGCCAGATGAAAAACGACACTTGATGAGACGAGACTGATCCAATGATGAGTACCGACTCTGGACCTTGACATCCAACAACAAAGAGTACGATGTACGGATATATAGTCTTGATGTTAGCTTGGTTAGTTGTTGTCTGATTGCTCGCTCGACCATCGTGTCTGTTGGGTGGTGTTGCGAAGTTACGGTACGCCTGTACGGTGGTGCTGCGGTACCTGCTACTCCACGGCAAAAATGCGGACAGATGCAAAAATGAGGAAAACCTCTGGAACACTTTGGAAACACATTTGAATTTACTACTTAACGTCCCTAGGAGCATGACTGGAGGATGATTTTGTTATCAAAAAGCAACCAACTTCTGGTTACCAGATCTCAGTCAATATCCAACCAATTGACCTAGTTGTTAAATGGTATTTGTCAGCAATAATGTTGTTTTGAATGACAGTGTCTTACTTTGTTGAGATAGTGTAGTTGATAGTGTCATATTGGGTGTTTACTGGAAGGGGTCATTTTTGCACCAAATATTTCTAAATGTAAGGGTGTATATGTTGCAGTGTGTCTTAATGTCAAGGTGTGAAGGCTGACTGATCTTCACTCTACAAGCCGATGTTAGGTTGCCCGGTTTCTTAAAACTAAGTAGTAAATAAGGACTGTCCACATTTGCGCTCCGGAGTAGCCTGGTACAGCGGTGGTGGTGCTGCTGCGGAGAGAGCGGATAGTGCGGAGTATAGAATGTTCAATCTATCCACGACTTAAAGCGTTAAGGGTTACACACGACTGCATGACACCTGCTTCCGCTGGACGCTGGGCGAGGAGATTGCATTCGACTCGTCTCGGAATCGAATCGAATCTCGAATCGAATGACTCGATTCAATTATCAGTAGTCTATGCCCATGCTCCACCCATCATCAGGCTGGCTTTACCAGTACCGCTGGCATTGTATTTTGCTTTCAGTCGCATTCTTGGTTTAGTTCGGATAAACACAGCGTATGACAGTGCAACAGTACAGTAAAGGTATAACCCCTCTAACAAACCAGGAATACAACCGTGTACATGGAGTACCAGGCTCTACGTGTTACCCTGTCTTTCCCTTTGTTTTGGGTGTTTCTACCTTTCTCGACCTTCTTCCAAGTTGACTGGAACATCGAACGACCGACTGGCTCGCTGGAACATCGATACTGGTATGAACGAAGGCTTTCGCAAACACACTGACGCATCGATCAATCGATCACTGAACAAGATTTCGCTGATGAAAAAGATCACAAGTGATCGGCATCAAAAGATCGTAAGTCGAAAAGCACGTGAAAAACGCAAAGTCCTCGAAAATCGCTAAGTCAGAACGGCAAAGAGGAAATCCAGCAGATCACAAACAAGATAACAAAACACAACAAGAAACAGAACAGTAACCACAAAAATTCTTAAAACTAAAATGACATATAAAATTTGTTTTTGCTATGCCTACAGCAGGATCGCGCTGTAGGCTGGGTACCACCAAGGCAGTTCGCTCAACGCAAGCGTGGGTGGAAGCCGGTGGGCTGATTCTTCTTGTCGTGCTTGAACTTGTTGATGATCTGGGTGACCGTAAGCCACCCGTAGGTGGCATAGATACGGTCGACCGCAGCCCTCCAATCGAAGCCCTTGGCCATCAACCGAATCACACAGTCCCACACATGCTTGCGGCGGCAGAACTGTCCTTGACGCGGCCGCGCTCACGAGCAGTAAACTCGCATGCGGCCTTGTTCCCGTTCAGGCCCTTGATCCACTCGTCCCACAACTCGTAGAGGTTGAAAGGCTTCTTCGCAAGCTGCGCTGGGAGGGTAGCGGGGTGGGGCCCTTGCGCGCAGCGGAGGAGACGGGCCAAACGCCCAGGACTCTCGGTGGTGGTGGGGGAAGTCCTGCGCCACTGCGCCAGCTGCAGCAGCACAACCACGCCAGCTCCACCACCGCCGCCAGCTCCCGCAGCACCACCGCCCGCCAGCTCCACCGGCCGCACCAGGAAGAGGAAGCCTTGGAGCACCGTTGCCACCACCCCTCGCGATCAACTGGAAGTGGTTGATCCTCCCAATATTCTTGTTCACGATGGCAATGTTCGTAGAGACATAGCCCCTCAAGGAGCTGATGTCCTGTGCAAGCATCTGCTGGGCCTCCTCGATCGCCTGCTGAGTCCTATGTTGGAGAGCAAGCAATTGGTTGAGCTGTTCCATGTTGACACCACCAGGAGCACCTCCGACCAAGGGCTCAGCACAGCTTGGACCTGGGCGGTGGAGCAAACTCAGTAATGTGCAATGCATTGGCTACCTTGTATATTGTCAGAGGGATCTTCGCACTGGGTTGTAGTCGGCCCCAGGACCTCATCCAAAGTGGTTCGAAGCTGGGCATACTCCTCTGGATGCGGTTGCGAATCTAGCCGTCATCATATGCTCCAAGCCAGTTCCATCGCAGCCCAAACAAGGCTGGACCAAGCACCATGGCGATGTGTTGCTTGGGTCGTCAGCGAAGAAGTCACAGATCTTCGGACAAACATGCTCACCGATGAACCCATGTCAACACCGCTGTCAGCCTTGATGCTGTACTTGACGGGACCACCAACAGCGAGCGTTCCAGCAACCTTGGCGTCGGTGGGAAGCTGCTCCAAGTTGATGTAAACATGACGATGTGTCCATTTTTCTCTCCCTTCCAGCGACCACGAGTCTCATTCTCGGCCTGGGTAATCCCACACTCAGCAGCGTAGGTTGGAGGCAGCTTGCGCACACTGTGGGTACCGAGGCTACCCTGGACTTGAGCCGCAAGCTCCACGAACTCAGGGTCCTTCCAAGCCTTCTTCAAAGCCCGTTGGTACCAGGCGTTGACTCGGTCAGGCTCCGTCTCAATCGTCGTCTCATCGAGCTTCGTCGTTGTCCAGAGCTTCGATGGCGGCCAGGAACGCTTCTTCATCGTCGACACGGTAATGGCCAAACAGAAACTTGGATCACCGTGTCCCCTCTCAAGACGAGTCTCGATCCAAATAGCCAAGGCAATCAGGACACAAAAGTCAGGGTCAGCGGCACCCAGCAGGATTTGGTTGGGACAAGCACGCTCCTCCTGGACATTCTTGCTCCAGGATACCTTGGTTTCAAGAGCGAGTTTGGAAACTTGGAGTGGCTGCGCAGATCCAAAGTCTCCATGTTGGTCAAATCATCAGTGCGGCCAATCAAGTGAAACTGAACCTTCAACATGGTTGGGATCTTGATCGTCGTGTCAATGTTTGCTCCTCCATCGCGTTCCACAATGCAAATGGTCTTGCGGAATTCCCGGATCTTGAGATCCCTCTTGACATTGATTTCCTGCCCTGCTTCCTGACCTCAGCCTTCTTCACAGCCTTGATCACTTCGTTGACAACCCTGGATCGAGTGGGATTCCCAACATTGGGACCAACAGCCCATGATGCGTGGCGGTTCGGATGGAAGTGGCTGATGGCCTTCTTTTTTGTTCAAGAGTGGTAGATCTCTTGTGGGTGGGGCGGTCATTGGGCCCTGGGTTGATCTTTCATAGGCAAGGAAGTTGAGGAACTGGGCGACATCAGTGGGTGTAATTTCTAGGAGCTGGTTCTGAAGAACACAAAATGAAGAAGAGCGACCATGGTGTGAGCGAGCGGCAGAGTGAAATTGAAATCTGGAGCGATTGGCGAAGGAGCGAAGGAGTGACATACCTGGTAAAGTTCTTCCTGTTATTATAGTGACGGCCATGCTTCCAACCCATAAACCTGGCAACGGCCGGCCGGTACTGCTGATCAAGCGACTTGCGCTTCCTCGCCATGGTCGACGGCAACAAAAGAGCGAGAGTAACAAAACAGCGAGTAGATAACAAACAGCGATAGCTTCGCCTTTTCAACTGCGTCCATCGAAATTTATGGAAGATTTGGAGATAATGAAAATCGACTGACTGCATCCAACGGCCAAGTGCACCGTACTACGGGATACATGCGTTGGTTCGGAGCGTACATCTGGGGGTTTCCCCTCTCTCAGTACTAAGAGAGGCATTCCGTACCCTTAAGTCTTTGAGTTTCGCGGAACGTTGTGTGTGACTAGTTGTTCTTCGTACGATTGAAGTTGTATTTTGGTAAAGATACTTAGGCGAAAAGTTGTATTTTGGGGTTGCCGATACAACCACAGTACTATTTTGAGTAGTATCGGATACCCTCAAATGCCTGGTTTTCCCCGGCAAAATACTCTCAATGACCAATGCGTATCCCCATACCCCAATAAAGGATACCCATACTTAGGCCTAAGTAGGGGCGAACTGGCTACTATGACTACAGGGTTAAGTCCCACCAACCAGTGCGATCCCCCAAAGACTGATACCCTCGACCATGTGACTACAGTTGTATATTAGTAATACAGTACCGGTACCGGTACGGGCAGACCCAGACTCGAATGATGCCTCGAACCCGTCATGTATGTGCCTGGCTTGCCTTGAAATCTTTGCATAAAGGTCTTTTTGCAGCGTAGCAACAACTGGTACTGATCTACTTAGCTACTACTAGTACCGGCTGGTGGCTTTAGGCTTTACTTGTGGGCAAAAGAAAAGACGCGGTTTCAATAGTCATGTCCTCGACTCGGCCGGGGCTAGTACTTCTGGCTACTAAACAGCATTAGTTCTTTGGAAAAGCAGTGTTGAGACACGAATGCTGTGCAGCCAGAAACCAACCCAGCACGGCTCCTTGTCCCCGCTGAAAATTTTAATGTTAGATTGCTGGTGGCTAAAAGTTTCACTTCTTCCAGCCAACTGCCCTGAGACAAGAACTAGCCGCCTGCTGCACCAATAGGATTTGCTTTTTTTCTGAGCACCCTGAACACAGTACCGCTGGCCAATGGATGGCCGAATTTGATGCTGGCCATGCTTATCGACAGTCTTTCGTCATGGTGTGTTCATGCGTTCATTCCGAGTATTTGAGTATTTCCCTATGATACTGGTAACTGGTACTACATTGTAGTAGACTGGCCATTCCACGAGGATCTTGGTTCTTGGTTCTTGCTACATGGCTTTGGCAATTGAGAATCTTGCGCTTTGCGGAAGCTTCACCTCAATCAGAAAGTGTTACCTTGCTCATAAATCCGGGACTTCTCATGGGAGGGGTACGCGTGAAAGCGCACTGTTGAAAAAGACCAGAAGGGTCCTCAATGCTATATCTTTTCTTTAATAATTACTTCTGAAGACGACAGGCATCGGCATTCCTATGGGACAGAGTGGGTCATGAATAGTGCAAGAGAACAATCCAAACGCTTTAAGTACATTCGGATCCTGCATGGATTGTTAAGTACTCTTGTTACTGTTAGTCATCGAAGCTCTGGATCTTTTACTAAAGCCATGTTTCAATGACCTTCTCCTAATTCGCTAACGCGGCCAAGGTCAAGACTGGGCTTCACGAATGCCGTGAGTTTCACCACGTAAGTATTACAGCAACAAGTTTGTTAAGTCCAGTCATCTATTCGAAGAAAGGGAGGAGGCCTCATCGTAATTACTACGGTTCTTTCCGCTGCGTGTACGTGTACCTTCTAATTAAGAAGGTCAATCCTCAATCCGGAACTGGCACACAACAGCTCACACAGCCAATGGCCAATTTGACCATCGACCGAACGTAAGTTACGGTGTTATGGTACACTGGAACAGCCCTTCGTTCTTTCTTGCAGCTCACAATGTCATTAATTTTCAATCCACCACTCCCGCTGTCTGGGCCTTCATCGCTGAGAGCTTGGAACTATTAGACTAGTAGACTACAAGCCAAGCGGTTCATTGGCACAAATAATAAAAATTCAATCGACTGACATTAAAATTTTACTTTCTTCCTACGCCTTTTGCTTTCGATCGTTCTTCGCTCCAGTCTTTCGAGGTCAAGTAAGTTGATTGATAGTCTCATTAACGCACAGCCTTGGCATCTGCCTCTCGCCATACCTTACGATGTCTCGTTGTCTCATCTTGCCTTTCCTTGCCTTGTGATACATTCGCCCAGCAGAGCTCCACAGTTGGATACCCCTCAAGAAGCTCCACAGTTGGATACCGGTATATATACCCCTCCTCAAGAAGCCTGAAGTCACAAGCACCGGTACAGTTGGATACCCACAAGAAGATCAGCACAGTTGGATACCCTCAAGAAGCCTGAAGCCTTAACAAGCACAGCAAGCAAGGATGGACATGACACGCATGATGGATAACCCTTCCATTCCGCTGGACAGGAGCCTCGACATGATCCCTATTCAAGAGGAGATGGACTTGGAAGTTGCCAGCAGCAACGGTGACACTGACGATGATCTCTTGTCGAACACGGGTGGAGACCACAACAATACGAACAGTACCACGCCCGAGATTGCGCGCAACGAAACGAGAATGGTCAACTGCAGCAAGTTCCTCGTGGGAGTGGTCATTCTCATCTTGGCGTCCACCATGGGAGTGGTCACCTACCAGTTTGTCACCAATCAGGAAGACACATACTACCAAAAGCAGTTTGACAATGTGGCACGCGACATTCAGGCATCGTCCATCCTTCGTGGTCGAGCCATCTTTGACAACCTCGAAGGCGTCAGTGTCTCCCTCACGATACAAGCATTGACATCCAACATGCAGTGGCCGTTCGTCGTCTTTCCACACTTTCAAGTCATGGGCATGATCTCCAATTCCATCACGGGAGCTTCCACCTTGGCCATTAGCCCCATTGTCCAGGCAGGACAGAGAGAAGAATGGGAAAACTTTACCATGGCACACTCCATGGAATTCTTGGCCGAAGGACACATGTACGACGAAGAAGTTCATCCCGATTTCTATGTCGAAACTCGATACTACAATGAAACCAAGGTGGAGCTTCCCTTTCCTCTTCAGGCGTGGGATGAAGCGCCAAGTATGCCCTTTATCTGGGAGTTTACTCCTGATTTCCGTCCCATGCCCGCCCTTCCACGATCTTCCTTCATCCCCTACTGGCAAATGGCTCCGGCCATTGACTATGCGTCTCCCCTCATCAACCTCGATACCAACACGCAGGGAAACACCACCTATTTCAATCGGGGCGTCATTGAGAAGCAAAAGCCCGTACTGACCACTGTCATTAGTCAATCCAACTACCTCGCATTCACCTACGATCAACGCTTCTCCGGCAATTACGCATACATCCCTCACAGCTATGTCTACTATCCCGTCTTTGACACGCTCACAAAGGACCGCCAAGTCGTTGCCATTCTCAATGCCTTTCTTCGTTGGGATCAGTTCTTTAACAATGTCTTGCCCGAAGGAGAAAAACCAATCGTCGTCGTGTTGAGCAGTTCCTGTCAACAGACATTTACGTATGAACTACGTGGCGAGACGGCCTATTACTTGGGCCAAGGCGATCTACACGATCCTGTCTACACAGATCTCGGCAAATCCTCCGCCTTTCAGGAATTGGCCCGATTGGACGATGTCGATGGATTCTCCTGTGACTACAGCATGACCATTTATCCCACGGCCGAATGGAGTGAACCCTACTTTACTGACAATCCAAAGATCTACATGGCGGCCGTCGTCTCCTGCTTCCTCCTCACGACCGTCGTCTTTATCATTTACGATTGTTTGGTGCAAAAGCGCAACCGAACCGTCATGCATACGGCCAATCGCACCAGTCAGATTGTCTCTTCCCGTGAGTCTTGACTTGTTCTGTTGTCTGTGCGTGTGCATGCATTGAACATGTTCCCATCCTAGCTCAACTCAACTTGTGTGTGTGTATTCCACAGTCTTCCCCTCCAATGTCCGAGACCGTCTCATGGAAGAAATCGAACCCGAAGAAAAGAAACCCAAACAAATGTCTTGGCCCAAGGCGTCCGAGCTGGCACGCACATTTACCAGTCCATCGGACGAATTGCCCAGCCCACGTAACAGTCTCAATTCTCTCATGACCAGTGAACGAATCTTTGGAAGTCAACCCATTGCCGATCTCTTTCCGGATGTGACAGGTATGATATGCGGCATTCCATCCACACAGCCCTGTTATGTTTGCATGCTTGCGTGCTCATCCATGTAATCATTGCTCGACTCTTCGTTTCTTTGCTGATAGTCATGTTTGCTGATATGGTTGGTATGTGATGTGATGAAGAGAATACATTCTGCATGCAAATGAACGACATGTTGAACGACCCAACTCAACTTTCTTGTCTTGACTTGACAAACACACACTGTAGGCTTCACTGCATGGTAAGGCCAAGAAACTGTACCTTGCTTCCCTCGCAAAAGTGACTCGTACCTCACCCTTCATGATCCTCTCACTTCAATATCAGGGCATCAGTTCGTGATCCCACACAGGTGTTCTCGTTGCTGGAAACTGTATACCACGCCATTGACCTTGTGGTGAAGCGCAGGAGAGTGTTCAAAGGTAAGCAACAGCTTAGGTGATATTTCCTGGCAAGGCCTTCCTTCTCCACACTAACTATACTAATCCCTCACCTTCCAACACAGTCGAAACTATTGGTGATTGCTACGTTGCATGTGCAGGTACGAAACTCGCCGCATCCCACCCACAATGTTTCCAATGACTGCGTTCTCTCATGATCTACTTTCCCTTCGTTTCGTTTCTTCAGGCCTGCCTGTTCCGCGAAAGGACCACGCTCTGGCCATGGCCCGCCTAGCCAATGACGCGCAAAACAAGATGACAGAGGTCTCTCACGAACTCGAGTCTCGGCTTGGTCCAGAAACCTCTCAGCTGTGTATGCGTATTGGGTTGCATTCTGTAAGTTCCACCTTGCGTAGAGCCGCAAGATATATCGATGCAGCAGTGAACTTGGAATCTAATCAAGCTGTTCGTTTGTGTACCGTACCGCAGGGGCCTGTGACGGCGGGAGTGCTTCGGGTAAGTGCTGGCTACGCATCTTTCATACCTAATTGCTTGTCTTGTCCTCCTTTCTCAATTCCTCTACCCTTTCTTGTTCAACCAGGGTGAAAAGGGACGTTTTCAGGTCAGTGAATGGAGCGAAGTAGGTGGAACGGGGAGTCCTCCTTCTTCTCACACGTGCTTTCTGTATGCTCTTCCATTTCAAATAGCTCTTTGGCGACACCATGAATGTGGCCAGTCGGATGGAAAGCACGGGGATGGCGAGAAAAGTACACATGTCCAAAGAAACGGCCGACTTGATCATTGCCGGTGGAAAGGGCAGATGGGTCGTACCAAGAGAAGATAAGGTCTTTGCAAAGGGAAAGGGAGAGCTCCAGACGTATTTCCTTTCCATCAAGCCAGAATCTCGTGGGTCATTGACTGAAACGCTCAGCTTGGCTGCCAGCCTAAAGGACGAAGAGTACGAAATTGAGACCTACTCTACGCAGGATGCTTCCAACCGAATGCGGCTTCTGGCAGCCCTCACACCACCAGCTGACGATGTGGTTGGAAAGACCACGAGACTGGTTGACTGGACAGTGGACATTCTTGGAAGACAGCTTCGCCAAGTGGTCGCACACAGAATGACTCGAAAATCCCTGTTCTCCATCGGGAGTCTCGACAACACAGAAAAGCGCCCACCACAGTTCAAGCCCAGGAGAGGCGATCTGATGGACGAAGTAGTTGATGTTCTCTCCCTTCCAAAATTTGATGAGAGCCTCTTCAAGAACTACGTTGACCCAGAAACAGTGGAGCTTCCAGCTGCGGTCGTAGATCAGCTCAGAGAACTTGTTTCACGCATTGCCAAAGCCTACAACAACAGAAACGGTAGGTAACCAGAAGAGGATGACAGAGCTCACTTTTTCAAATCAAACTCTCACGTTTCTCGTCTTTTTCTTTTGCCAGCTTTCCATTCATTCGAGCACGCGTACGTCAGGTTTTTGTCAATGCTACTGATGCTGTTTGAAAGCCCTCCTGTGCATTGCTCACTGTTCATTGTTCATCCCTTTTCCACATCAGAGCGCATGTCATCATGTCCGTAACAAAGATGATGACCAGGATTGTCAACCCCATCGATATCTCCCGTGAAAAGGGTCCCGAATACAAGTTTGCCTCAACTTTGCACCAGTATGTAAACAACTGTTGAATGTCGGGAACTCCGTGTCCTCTGTTTATATCTTGCACATCATAATCTTTACGCTCAGCTAGTTCAGGACACACGCATTACGGTATATATCATCTTTTGGTCAGAACATTCAGGTATACCAGCCAGTTCTCAACAAAGAGTTAGGGGGGGGGGGGGGGGGGGGGCGAGAGGGGGGGGGACTCTGACCGACTCATATTATAATAGAATTTGATATTCATAAGACAACTGGACCACAACAATCTTGGAGTCCCAACACGAAGACACTTCGCAACGCAATTAGTTCCAAAGAGACCATAGTTCCTCAGTTACAAGAACTCATAACTATACACGCTAAAAGATAAATGATCAATGAGATTAATAAAGCCAAAAGCGAGATCACTATCATCTGACGAATAAGTCTAACCTAATGAAGCTATACACGAAAAGCACTGAGCTAAATAGATATCCAAATAAAACAAGGAATACAGTCAGATTTGGAGAATAGTTCCGGGCCAAGAAATTTCTCAAAGCAACCATTGTAACAATCGAGTCTTTTCCCGGCCTTCATCTCGCCACGTATAGAATTCTGTGGAACTTTCGTGGGGCATTTTGATGAAGCCTGAATTTGGACAACTACGTGCTTGCATCTACACAAACGAAGATGAGCTGACTCGGTTCCGGTCCATCGTGGTGAATCTGGTACTTGCAACAGATATCATGGACAAGGACCTCGGGTGAGTGGAACCAAACTGACACGACGGGAACCCACATCCAAAGCACACTATGGTTTCCTCACGCTTGATTCCTTCCGCTTTCAGAGCACAAAGAAAGGATCGTTGGGCTAGGGCTTTCAACAGCAATGAAGGTCCCCTGCCTTCTCAAAGCAGCAAGGAAAACAAAGAAACGGAGGTGAATAGGAAAGCAACGATAGTTTTGGAGCACCTGATCCAGGCCTCGGATATTGCCCACACAGTAAGTCGAATCGCAAGCTCTCCGTCCACAGCACCCCTGGATTTGTTTACTCAACCACGTCGTCTGGATCGACCGCCCACCACAACAGATGCAACACTGGCGTAAGTACAAATGCAAGAGTCTGGCGTCCACAAATTCCTCTGGGCTTGGATGGCTGATTCATTCCTTCATACCCATTGTTGTCTTCTATAGATGTCTACCGAAAATGGAACGAGCGCTTGTTCTGTGAGATGTACCAGGCTTACAAGGACGGCAGATCTGACAAGGATCCTTCAGGTGCGTGCATGGAACGACCTCGCTGGCTAGTTTGCGTACGAAATCTCACCCTTCTTGCTCTTTCCGAAACTGTTCCTGCACAATCAGAGGGCTGGTATGAAGGAGAAATCGGTGGGTCCACTCTCGTTGCCCCGTTTGTGACTACTGGTCTACTGGCATGATACTAACGAGAGCTGTTCTTGCACACTTGTTGCTTCGTTGCAGGGTTCTTTGACTTTTACATCATCCCTCTGGCTAAAAAACTTGAAACATGTGGTGTCTTTGGTGTATCAAGCAGTGAATACCTTGGTTATGCTGAAGCCAACCGCAAGGAATGGGTTGACAAGGGACGGAATCTTGTGAAGGTGTATTTGGAGCGATTCAAGCTACGCGATAGTGTGGGTCCCGGTGGTGGCTTTTCTTCTACGGGTGACTTGATGGAGCTAGCGTTGACCGAAGCGACAGAACCTGCTTCTATGAGTAGCGCTTCGGATCACGGATCAGCAATCGGCCTCAACCTCGACGAAGGCTCTCATATATTCGACGTATAACCTGGAAGACGGTTCTACTAGGCTGACGTGCTGAGTGGATGCGCTTGAAATGGGCTCATGTCATTACACAAGAATAGTTTAATCGGCTGAAGACTAAGTTGAGTCAGTCAACCGCATCGTCCACTCCTTCAGGGCCAACCAGCCCGCATTGGTCCGAGCCATAGGAAGCGACCACGGGGATCAATACCTAACCAGCCTGCAGCATAGCTAACGTGGTAACGGGTAACACCGTAGCTAACTCACTCTGAATTCCACGAGAGCATCACAGTATCACAGTCGGGATAAACAACTTGAATGTGGTGGACTGAGTTGGTTGGAGTGATCCGGTCGATTGGTGCATCGGTGGCTCCCTTAAAGGATGTTGTCGCGGCAGGGATCTCATTGACGTCACAAGAACGACGTCTCGGCATGGCTCTAAAAGTGACAATTTGCTGAGCAGTTTCTATTCGGTTGGTAGCAAGAGTCGTTCCTGCTTTTCCGTGCAAATCGCTCTTGGCCTGTATTCAGTGGATGGACGCACATGGTAGTGGCGGGACGACCAGGGTTTGCAGGTGAAGCTTTGCTAGCAGTAGATGGCATCTTCGTTGGTTGATTCGGGTCAGTGATATAGTTTGAGGTGGGTGGAGAGATTAGGTCAAGCGGTGAATCACAGTCCCCCGGCTTGGCATCTTTCATGGCATTCCTGATTGAGGCTGCTATCCCGAGGCTGCACGCATTCAAAGCATCATGGGACTCGTCGATCAAAGAATGTTGTAGAGTTTAATAGCGCACTGTTGATGCCACGACAGGTGCAGGATTGCTGGTGCTTGTTGCCGCTCGCAGATGGCAGAGAGTGGATCCATCGGAGACCAAATCAATGGGTTTACTTGTGATACCAGCCATTGGTATGTGTCTTTGTTTCCCCATAGTGGCTGTTGAGGGCATCGACAACTTGAATGGAATGTTGTAAGCACTGCCTGTCATTGGTTTTCGTTGCTTGGTGTCGCTGGTTTGAGCTGTTGCTGGTTTGGTTGGCAGCGTCCGTCGACGCTGACAGGGCTGGCCATTGAGTACCGATTACATTGTTTCCATCGCATTGCTGTGCTGCACAGTGTTGTTTTCGAAGTAGTAATGGTGTCGGAGCCAGCAGATACTTGCAAGGTTTTGTTCGTGTTAGACGTAAGTAATTGTCGGCTGGCTTCCGTAGATAATTTCCCTAAACCGCGCCTACGTTTGTGACAGTGTTTTTGTTGGAGGAGCCGGTCGTCAGAGATTTTTCATTTGTGATGTGCACCATGGTGCCTGAAGAAGGGATTGATGCTGCTTTTTCCTTTGGTGTTGTCTTCTTACCACGGCAGATCCGTTGATATCCATCATTTGCCTGTTGCGCAGTGACGGCATGACTCCTGCTCATGGCAAATGACTGTGATTTTCCTGGCCCATTCGATGGTTTCGAGATCATTTGATGTGGCATCAGGAGCGGTACTGTTGTAGCAGGCAGTCGGCTAGCGGTTCCCGTTGTCGGAGACCTGATTAATCAAGGTGTTCGGCGGCAAAATGGACCACAAGGCGCCACGGTCGGTCCTTTTCTTTCTGGCCGCAAATCCAGAATTGTGACTGGAGCCTATTTCATGGTCTACGTTACGGTGCAACGCATTTGAGCCTCCCGGTGCGCAAGGATGAGCAAACAACAAAACGGCAATCCAGTCTCACTGCACCTTGTGACATACAATGTTGTTTCGTGGGGCGTCCTTGTGTTGGCTGCTTACTTGGCGCAGTAAGAGTCAATACTTCGGATGTGGGATTGCAGGGGCCACTGGTCCAATGCTGCATTTTGGATGAGAAGGCTGCTGAGGTTTGAGGAAGGCTGCTGAACACATTTAAAGAAAAAAGGAGACATAGCCAAGGAGCCAGATGTTTGCACTGAGCTACCAACCTACCCAGCCAGCTGCCAAGTTGGTTACATAAATTCTAAATGATTCATGCCTACACATGCATGAGGTGCTGCAAAACCCCTATTCTCAATCACATCGACAAGAGTAATCTCTAGCTCTACTGGTACTGGCTATACTTCGAATACATCAGAGTCTTCATTGAGTGCGAGGCCAATTGCTGAGCCATCCGAATAAGTACTCATGGAAGCAGGTTCTGGCGCCGATTCTGGCATGTCAGCAACTGTAGTGTCGGTCAATGCTAGCTCCATCAAGTCGCCAGTAGAAGCCAAGCCACCACCACCAGGACCCAAACTCTCACGTAGCTTGAATCGCTCCAAATACACCTTCACAAGATTCCGTCCCTTGTCAACCCATTCCTTGCGGTTGGCTTCAGCATAACCAAGGTATTCACTGCTTGATACACCAAAGACACCACACTCCTTGAGTTTTTTAGCCAGGGGGATGATGTAAAAGTCAAAGAACCCTGCAACGAAGCAACAAGTGTGCAAGAACAGCTCTCGTTAGTATCATGCCAGTAGACCAGTAGTCACAAACGGGGCAACGAGAGTGGACCCACCGATTTCTCCTTCATACCAGCCCTCTGATTGTGCAGGAACAGTTTCGGAAAGAGCAAGAAGGGTGAGATTTCGTACGCAAACTAGCCAGCGAGGTCGTTCCATGCACGCACCTGAAGGATCCTTGTCAGATCTGCCGTCCTTGTAAGCCTGGTACATCTCACAGAACAAGCGCTCGTTCCATTTTCGGTAGACATCTATAGAAGACAACAATGGGTATGAAGGAATGAATCAGCCATCCAAGCCCAGAGGAATTTGTGGACGCCAGACTCTTGCATTTGTACTTACGCCAGTGTTGCATCTGTTGTGGTGGCGGTCGATCCAGACGACGTGGTTGAGTAAACAAATCCAGGGGTGCTGTGGACGGAGAGCTTGCGATTCGACTTACTGTGTGGGCAATATCCGAGGCCTGGATCAGGTGCTCCAAAACTATCGTTGCTTTCCTATTCACCTCCGTTTCTTTGTTTTCCTTGCTGCTTTGAGAAGGCAGGGGACCTTCATTGCTGTTGAAAGCCCTAGCCCAACGATCCTTTCTTTGTGCTCTGAAAGCGGAAGGAATCAAGCGTGAGGAAACCATAGTGTGCTTTGGATGTGGGTTCCCGTCGTGTCAGTTTGGTTCCACTCACCCGAGGTCCTTGTCCATGATATCTGTTGCAAGTACCAGATTCACCACGATGGACCGGAACCGAGTCAGCTCATCTTCGTTTGTGTAGATGCAAGCACGTAGTTGTCCAAATTCAGGCTTCATCAAAATGCCCCACGAAAGTTCCACAGAATTCTATACATGGCGAGATGAAGGCCGGGAAAAGACTCGATTGTTACAATGGTTGCTTTGAGAAATTTCTTGGCCCGGAACTTCCAACACGTACCTGTTCAGCAATGCTTTTGCCATGGTACTTTGTCGCAAGAGGATCGTTTTCTTTAACCAGAGTCCTGCGAACAATCGATTAATCGAACCAAGACAGTTAGAGAGGTCGACAGTGGACTAGTCAGTTGGAAATTGCGACGATTCCTTACGTGTTGGGAACTCCAGGGTGGTCAAGGTCATGAATCAAACTAGCAAAGAGGGCAGCAAACCTCGTGATTGGATCTGATGTCAGGCCAAAAGAGAACCTAAGGTTGGCCAGACGACAGCGGCAAGATGAGCAAATAAACAGAGGACACGGAGTTCCCGACATTCAACAGTTGTTTACATACTGGTGCAAAGTTGAGGCAAACTTGTATTCGGGACCCTTTTCACGGGAGATATCGATGGGGTTGACAATCCTGGTCATCATCTTTGTTACGGACATGATGACATGCGCTCTGATGTGGAAAAGGGATGAACAATGAGCAGTGAGCAATGCACAGGAGGGCTTTCAAACAGCATCAGTAGCATTGACAAAAACCTGACGTACGCGTGCTCGAATGAATGGAAAGCTGGCAAAAGAAAAAGACGAGAAACGTGAGAGTTTGATTTGAAAAAGTGAGCTTTGTCGTCCTCTTCTGGTTACCTACCGTTTCTGTTGTTGTAGGCTTTGGCAATGCGTGAAACGAGTTCTCTGAGCTGATCTACGACCGCAGCCGGAAGCTCCACTGTGTCTGGGTCAACATAGTTCTTAAAGAGGCTCTCATCAAATTTTGGAAGGGAGAGAACATCAACTACTTCGTCCATCAGATCGCCTCTCCTGCGCTTGAACTGTGGTGGGCGCTTTTCTGTGTTGTCGAGACTCCCGATGGAGAACAAGGATTTTCGAGTCATTCTATGTGCGACCACTTGGCGAAGCTGTCTTCCAAGAATGTCCACTGTCCAGTCAACCAGCCTCGTGGTCTTTCCAACCACATCGTCAGCTGGTGGTGCGAGGGCCGCCAGAAGCCGCAATCGGTTGGAAGCATCCTGTGTAGAGTAGGTCTCAATTTCGTACTCTTCGTCCTTTAGGCTGGCTGCCAAGCTGAGTGTTTCCGTCAATGATCCACGAGATTCTGGCTCGATGGAAAGGAAATACGTCTGGAGCTCTCCCTTTCCCTTTGCAAAGACCTTATCTTCTCTTGGTACGACCCATCTGCCCTTGCCACCAGCAATGATCAAGTCGGCCGTTTCTTTGGACATGTGCACTTTTCTCGCAACACCAGTGCTTTCCATTCGGCTGGCCACATTCATGGTGTCGCCAAAGAGCTATTTGAAATGGAAGAGCATACACAAAGCACATGTCAGAAGAAGGAGGACTCTCTGTTCCACCTACATTGCTCCATGCACTGACCTGAAAACGTCCCTTTTCACCCTGGTTGCAAGAGAGGGAAGAAGAATTGAGAATGAGGACGAGACAAAGCAATAGACGAAAGATGCGTAGTCAGTACGTACCCGAAGCACTCCTGCTGTCACAGGCCCCTGCATTGCACAAGTGAACACCTGATTAGTTTCCAAGTTCACTGCTGCATTGATATTGTGGGGCTCTTCGCACTGTGGAACTTACAGAATGCAACCCAATACGCAGACACAGCTGAGAGGTTTCTGGACCAAGCCGAGACTCGAGTTCGTGAGAGACCTCTGTCATCCTGTTTTGCACGTCATGGGCTAGGCGGGCCATGGCCAGAGCGTGGTCCTTTTGCGGAACAGGCAGGCCTGAGGAAATGGAGCAAAGCCAGATCATGAGAACACATTCATTGGAAACGGGACGAGTGGGATGTAGTGGGATTCGCACCTGCACATGCCACGTAGCAATCTCCAATAGTTTCGACTTCGTTGGAAGGTGAGGGATTGGATAAGTTAGCAAGGAGTAGGTATTAGCAAGTGGAACACCAAGCTGTTTTTTACCTTTGAACACTCTCCTTCGCTTCACCACAATGTCAATGGCGTGATATACGGTTTCCAACAATGTGAACACCTGTGTGGGATCACGAACCGAGGCCCTGATATCGAAGCGAGCGGATCATGAAGGGTGAGTCACTTTTGCGAAGCAGGCATGGTACAGTTTCTTGGCCTTACCATGCAGTGAAGCCTATACAGTGTTTGAGAAGGCAAAACAAAGTTGAGATGGGCCATTCAACATGTCGTTGGTTTGCATGCAGAATGTATTCACTTCATCACGTACCAACCATATCAGCAAACATGACTACCAGCAGAGAAACGTCGAGCAATGAGTACAGCAAAGAGAAAGCAGGGATGGATGAGCATGCAAGAACGCAACATAACAGGGCTGTGTAAGGGCAGCATTCCATCTGCGGTGCGCGTACCTGTCACATCCGGAAAGAGATCGGCAATGGGTTGACTGCCAAAGATTCGTTCACTCGTCATGAGAGAATTGAGGCTGCTACTTGGGCTGGACGATGCCTCCAACGAACTGGTAAATGTGCGTGCCAGCTCGGATGCCTTGGGCCACGCCATGGGTTTGGGTTTCTTTTCTTCGGGTTCAATTTCTTCCATGAGACGGTCTCGGACGTTTGAGGGGAAGACTGTGGAACACAAATACATAAGTTGATTTGAGGAAGGGGAAAAGTTCAATGCATGCACAACATCAGAAAAGCAACTCATCGTCGTCACAACAAGACTCACGGGAAGAGACAATCCTATTTGTTTTGTTGGCGGTATGCATGACGGTTCGGTTGCGCTTTTGCACCAAACAATCGTAAATGATAAAGACCACGGTCGTGAGCAGGAAGCAGGAGACGACGGCCGCCATGTATATAATCGGTTTGTTGGTAAAGTAGGATTCGCTCCACTCTGCAGTGGGATAAACGGTCATGCTGTAGTCGCAGGAGAATCCATCAACAGTGTCCAATCGTCCCAATTCCTGAAAGGCGGACGACTTGCCGAGATGGGTGTAGCGTTGATCGTGCAGATCCCCCACACCCACGAAATCGGCCGTCTCTCCGCGTAGAACATAGGTAATCGTCTCTTGACATGTACTGGTCAATACGACGAGGATTGGTTTTTCTCCTTCCGGCAGTACATTGAAAAAGAACTCATCCCAACGAAGAAAGGCATTGAGAATGGCGACGACTTGGCGGTCCTTTGTGAGCGTGTCAAAGACAGGATAGTATACGTAGCTGTGAGGAATTTCTTCGTAAATGTCTTGGAAGCGTCGATCATAGTACATGGAGAGGTAGCTGCCAGTCGTGATGGAGGACAGGACGGGCTTTTGGTACTGAATGACACCCTGATTGAAGAAGGTGGAGTTTCCCTCTGAGTTGGTATTTAGGTTGACAATGGGAGAGGCATAGTCAATGGCCGGTGCCATTTGCCAGGAGGGAATGTATGAGGATTGTTGGGCGGTGGGTACAGGTTGGAATCCAGGACCGAATTCCCAGATAAAGGGCATACTTCCTGATTCATTCCATGCCTGGAGAGGAAAGGGAAGCTCAACCTTGGTTTCATTGTAGTACCGACTCTCCTCATAGAAATCTGGATGAACTTCTTCGTCGTACATGTGCCCTTCAGCCAAGAATGCCATGGAGTTATCCATGGTAAAGTTCTCCCATTCTTGTCTCTGTTCGTCCTGGACAATGGGACAAATGGCCAAGGTGGAAGCTCCCGTGATGGAGTTGGAGATCATGGCAGTGACTTGAAAGTGTGGAAAGACGACGAACGGCCACTGCATGTTGGAGGTTAATGCTTGTATCGTGAGGGAGACACTGACGCCTTCGAGGTTGTCAAAGATGGCCCGACCACGAAGGATGGAGGATGCCTTGATGTCTCGTGCTGCATTGTCAAACTGTTTTTGGTAGTTCGTTTCTTCCTGATTGCTGACGAATTGGTACGTGACCACTCCCATGACGGATGCCAAGACCAGAATGACCACTCCCACGAGGATCTTGCTGTAGTTGACCATTCTGGTTTCGTTGCGAGCAATCTCGGTGCTGGTATTGTTAGTATGGTGGTCCCCCGTATTTGACAAGAGATCATCGTCGGTGTCACCGTTGCTGCTGGCAACTTCCAAGTCGATCTCTTCCGTGATGGGGATCATGGCCAAGGAGTTCCTGTCCAGCGGAACGGAAGAGTTGTCCATCATGGTTGGTGTCATGTCTGCTCCTTCAGGCTTCAGGCTTTTTGAGGGTATCCAAACTGTGAAGCTTGCTGCTGGGTTCTTGAGGAGGGGTATTTACCGGTACTATCCAACTGAGGAGCCTCCTGAGGGGTATCCAACTGTGGTATCCAATGGCAAGACGAGACAAGGCAACGTAAGGTACCGGTATGGTCAGAGAGGCCGATGCCAAGCTTGTGAATGAGACTATATATCAATCCTCTCCTGAACTGGCGTACTTGAATTATTATCGGCGACGAAGGTGGGCAAAGGCAAAGCTGAAGCGAGGAATGATCGAAACCAAGAGCTCAGGAAGAAGGGAAATTTAAGTCTATTGAATGTAGTTGTGACCACTTCGTTCTAAAGTTACGCAAAACCACCAAACACCAAAGAGTGTTTGCGACAAGCGAAAAAATTGAAGCTGAATGTTGGCGGCTTTGTGAGCAGCCAATTTGGCCAACCCACACGGCACACAACGCACAGCACCCAACCACCGAAACGTGCCAATCGCAAGCTACTACCGTACCGTACTGCCTGGAATGCTGGGTGGGTAAAGAGGGGTGTAATGGTATAATTAATATTTTAGTGCGTACTCGAGTAGTGTACACTGTACTACGACTGTAGTAGAGAGGAAACATTTACTAGTATTTTACGATGGGTCTAAGAAAATTCTTGAAATGGACTTAACAAACTCATTGATGTGTTCCTTCCATATTCCATACATTGTACTGAGTACATACATGTACTGGAGAGCTACTGGAGTGGGAGTATCAGTGGTGAAACTCAGTCTTTCGGTGAAGTCGAGTCTTTACTGATGGTCATTTTTGGGCAATTGCTCCGAATCTCCGAATGGCATTGTGGTCCACTCTGAGTACCCTACCGGTACCTGGTACAGTACTGTTACATTGTAGTACAGTCAAAGTACCATAAGGCGTAAGGCGGATTATTGTCTGTCTTCTTGCACAGCCACACTATTCCAAAGATGACCCGTTCGCACGGCGATGACTCTCGTTTTCTAATGATTAACAAGAGAGGACCCCCTTTGGTCTTTTTCATCTAGTTTTCTTAGGAGAACGAGGACGCGCTTTTCTAATTATTGTTGAGAAGTTGAGTTGAGAAGCTTAAGCAGGAACAGCCTCAATTAACTACTTATTAGTACTGAAGTACTCCAGTAACTCAATTGCCAAACGTATTGCCCCATACTCAATGGCTGCGCTGCGGACGCGCGGAAGAGTGAGTACTAGTAGTGTACTAGCTAGCTAGTAGAGCGAGGTAGGCCACTGCTGACCACTGTCAACCATTGTTACTTGTTACGAAACAGTTATGCCTTTCAACAAAACTTACCACTGTTTTACATGTGACTTTACCACTGTTTCATCATTCTTCACCACTGTTTTGAGAGCCCCTGAAACGCACGCGGTTGTATTATACGTATAACATTTTTACTATGTATTCTACAGATCATACGTCGCTGTCTTGGGCATTGGTGTACCTTGGTTGGCATGGGATGTCAATGGATTTCTCCACCTCCCTGTAAACTCGCACTGATGAACGCAGCAAGACGAAGTCTTAACATTCGGCTCATTCGGGAGCTCGTTCGAGTTGCAATTGCCTACATGTAATAAGCTTGCTTGGTTCCAGCATCTCGACAAGAATGAAACCTCCTGGTACATGTATGTACCGGTACATGTCATTGTATCCAGGCAGCCTCTTGTGTTTGCATCCTCTTTCGATCGAGCCCCGTGGCCAACAGGGATCCAGTATTAGTCTACGTTAAATTTCGATGGGCCGTCAGAGAAAACAACAAATACGAGTTTTGTTTTCTGTGCTGAAGTGGAGAAAACCAGTGACTTTCCCTTGGTCTTCAAATTTCACAAACTTGACTGTCATGGAACCAGATCTGACTGTCATCCCATGGTTGATAGGATTCAATGAGGGATGGCTTTCGAATATGCACCTTCAATAACTCTTGATAATACGGTAGTAGTCTTACCTCGAATCAATAGAGAGATTGATCGGTTTCTTGAATAAAGAACCCCTCCTTCCGCTCTTGTCGGTCAAGCTTGGATTTCTCTCCTGTTTACCATTGATACGGTACAGTTGTATTCAATGAGGGAGAGAAATCAGCCTCCAATACTAGCTATGCCTAGTAGATACCGGTAGGAGTGTGATGGAGTCCGCGGAAAACGGTTGCACAAGGTGTTCGTTCGAGCCCGGTCCTCCTCAATGGTGCTCCCAGCTTCTCTTCGTCTCCCCAGCTGTCCTGCGCATTGCCCCCACCTAAGTAAAGGAAGAACTGCAGGATGTGCAGGCACCTCGACAAATAATCCAATAGTAATTAGCTACCTGTAGAGTTGCATTCCCCACATGCATCACATCCACATAGATCATTTGAAGAGCAGGTAAAGTTCACCTTTTCCACATCATAGCAGACTGTGAACAGTCCAAAGTAAACATTGCAGGTGTAGGACATGTCCCAAATACTGCCGCAGAGATCATGGGGAATCGATCCGGTGAGAGAGGTGTTTGATATTGTTAGCATCTCCAACCCATCCATGTCCAACAAGGTTTCAGGGATGCTGCCAGCCAGATTTGTATCATGAAGAAACAGCTCAGTCACATTGTTCAAGAGCCCTATCTCTGACGGAATACTCCCAGAAAATTCATTGTGAGACACCCAAAGGAGATCGAGGGAAGTCAAAAGGCCTAGCTGTGATGGCAGTGGACCTTCCAGATTGTTGTTGTTTATCTTGAAGTAATTCAGCTGTCCCCAGCTCTCCAAGATTGAGCCTGGAAGTGTTCCGGTAAAGCTGTTGCCATTCATCCAAGCCATGGTCAGATCTATGTGCAGCACTCCAACAGTGAGTGTTATCTCTAGCTAGGTGCTAGGTGAAGTCGATACAAACAGCCCAGCAGCGAACTTACTTGGAAACAGACCAAACTCTGTAGGAATTGTTCCTGTGATTTCATTTTCGTCAATATCTATTCTCCACTGATCATGCCAGGCAGCCATCATTGTTAGTGGAGCGAAAAGAAGAGGTTTGTATTCAAACAGTAAAAAAACTCCTTACCATGTTTGTCAAAAGGAACAGCTCACTGGGTAGAGATCCAGTAATGTGACATTTCCAGAGGTTGAGCTTTGAAAGATGAGAAAGCAAACCAATTTCTGTTGGAATCGAACTATTGAACGAGATTTCGTGGACGAAGAACCGCTCCAACTTTGTCATTTGGCCAATCTCAGGCAGGAGGCTGCCACTGGCAAGGCCTTCCAGACCCTGAAGATAAAATTTGACCATGTTTGTCAACCTGTATAGCTCAGTTGGCAGTGTCCCAGATAGTTTTCGGCATGCACCCACACCAAGAAGGCTGAGAGCATGTAGATTGCCCAGTTCACTTGGCAATGAACCGGTGTATGGATTATTGCCCAGCTCTAGTTCAAAAAGATTGGAGAGCTGTCCCAACTCTGTTGGGATTTGGCCTGAATGACTATTTCGGTTCACATAGAACTTCTCCAGGTTTGTCAGCAAAGCAATCTCTGAAGGGACCACTCCATAAAGGTTCTCGTTGGATCCAACTTCCAGATACTTCAATGAATTGCTCAAGAGAGAAAGCTCTGGTGGGAGGGTTCCTTCCAAGTTGTTTTCTGTGAAGACAAAGTATGTGTACTGGCCCTCAGCATTGCAGGCAGAGTCTAGAAACTGAAGTTCCGAGCTTGTTTCAATACTCCCTTCATGCAGGAAAGAGTCCTGTTCACCACCCACTAGATTCTTGAAATACCAAGAACATTCATCCAAATCATAGCTGAGCCAGTGCTCCTGGAGGTTCCAGTTATCCCCTCCAGTGCTAAAATAGAAGACAGCTAAAGCAAAACGTTGGAGCATTTTCCAATGAGGATAAAAAGTCCTGTTGGGGTCATTCAATACCCAATCATAGGCCATTGCTTGTGGAGAACTGGGATCTTTAAGGGCGGTGATTGTGACATCTGGGAGCTCATCCCATGTGTTGGCAAGAATTGTTGGAGCAGCAGTAGGAGATTGGGTCTGTGGAGTTGTGTATTTCTGTGATGATTGGCTTTGTTTGCCATTATCAAGACCAATAATTAGCCCCATCACAACAGCAAATGCCACCAAGCTGGTTGCCATAACAGAAACGAGGCATTTTCTTTTTCTTCTTTCGAGCTTTCCCGCTTCTGAGATTGACTCTAGCTGCATGGGGCTGATTTGCTGAGCGGTGCCCATTATTGCAGCAGCTCCAGTCTCAGAGACTTGCATTGCTTCCGGCAGGACTTCGTTTGTGGCAGTATCATGGTAGCCGTTGTCGTGTCTATTGCCCAGACTACTCAAGCGCAATGCAGTATTTGGTTGCTCTGTCAATGTCACTTGTCCCATGTCAAGCCGCTGAGCCTGCATGTTTCTGACAGAGAAAGCACCAGGCTCCGTACTGCAGATATCCGTGTTTCGACCAAGCGCTGGCATGGGCATTATGCCGTTGTGGAAGTCAAAATCATCTGCGCATACCGCTAATTCGTCCCCATCCTGGAGTGCCTGCAGCACTGTTTCCTCGACTGCCCCAGCCAGATGAGAAGATAGCTGCTCAGTGAACTCCTCCATGGTAGAATTAGAATCCATATTTTCTCTCCGATACGATAGGTCTAAGGTCTAGCTAGCCACTTGCTGTTGCTTGGTGAGATCGTCGATCGTCGAGTGTGCCTCCTTGAAAGCTTGAAAGTGACGTGACGAACTAAAGTCACCCAGGTGCAGAGAAAGAGAGGGGGGGGGGGCCTAATAATAAGAAAATTGAAGAGGTTATTGCTTTAGAGACCTTCCTTGCCCGTCGAGTTCCGTCGATGGCTCTGGAAGGCCCCGTCGCGCGACTGCCAGTCGCCAATAATCGGCATAAAGTCGCACACAACCTCAAAAGTCGCTTCAAAAGTGGTTTAAAACGTCGCATGCGACTTTCTCGCACGACTTTCAAAGTCGCACAAGATTGCTAAAAGAAACACAACAGAGTCGCGTAGGATCGCTTAAAGTCGTGTGAAAGTCGCGTACGACTCGCACGCGACTCGCACGCGACTTTGTGAACGACTTTCAGCGATCCGACGCGACTTTGACCGATTCGGGACTAACAGTCGCATGACGAGGCCTTCCTGATGAGTAATCGGAGTATTCTAGCCAAGATATCGTGCCGGTACAGCTGTACAGTGGGTACATACAGACTAGTTCATGTACCGGTGCACCGAACGTGAGAGAACCCCCTTTCACGATTCACAAAGAGTCAGGATACGGTAGGCCGTGGAAGCGAGGAAAAGCTTGGAAGTAGAATCGGGAACAACCAATCCCGGAGGAACGCACACATGTAGTCACCTTGGCTTTAAGAAGTCTGAGGATCCAGCACGTTCCCTTGAAAGATTAATCGAGAGCAGGGAAATTCAAACGATTTGCTTGAAGGTTCCACACCACCTCATACATGTAGGCATTACTATTTCTAAAGAACTTGTATACATGTAATGAACTTAGCTGCTGGCAAGCTTGGCAGCTCAGTATAGTGTGAACACCTGGCTGCCTTGGTGCGCTCTTCTGGTCAGTCGTTTTCATGTCTTCTTCAGAGCAGCTTATGGCACCAGGTACATTCCCAAGTGTTCTATCCTCACTGTATCCTTGAGCATGGACACATCCACAGCTGCACCTTTGGCCAGGGACACAAAAGTCACTTGTTTGGGCTGGTTGGGCCGGAGTGCAAATGCGTTCTCAAGGAATCGTCCTGGGGCCCCAGTGGTAAGGACTACATATAGAGCCAGTCCGTCACTTTCAACTGTTACAAGCGCAGCTGATTTGTCAGGTCCAACCTCAATGGACTTCACCTGGACGTGCACAAATAAGCTGAGGTTGGGGGTAGTTTTGGGAAGTGGTTTCCAAAGAAAAATACTCTCTTCTGCCAGGGTACCACCACTCTCCGAATCGGTAACACTAATCAACATGGCATCATACGAATCGGGGCCCCATTCAGCAGGGGCTTGGAATAGGGCTAACAAGAATCAAATATACGAACAAAATGAGGAACAGAGCAGATAGCAACAGTTATCACCAAGGAACCAACCTGTAGATGCTACCCCTCCCTCCAAGGTGGCCTGAAAGTCGAATGTTGCTGGTGATGATCCCTTCAAGGAACTTGCAATGTTCCAGGCTTCCAGTGACACCTTCGCCTTTACTTGATCCATCCCATCATTTCTTAAGAGGCACAAATTTTTCACACCACAGGATACCATGACATCACGGAACAAGTAGCTCTTAAGCAGGTGCATGAGTGGTTTCCACCGACCTCCAAGCACCTGCCCTTTGAAAACATCGGGTTGTTGAGAGTCGGCAGAGTACTCAATGAGACCCCAGCCTCCGGTTGGCCAATTCTCGTTTAGCTGCCATATCAGCAACCCGAATGAGTTCTTGGAGCGCCGGTGTTCAATGTCTTGCTTCATCCACAAGGTTTGTGCCATCATGCACTGATAGAGCTGGGCTTGGAAGGATCTTTGCCCAATTATGTCCAAGGAGGTCTGGTTGCCAAAGTAGGCTTCAATGTGAGTGTCGCAGGGGTAGTTTCGTTGTGCCATGACGTTGTCACCCTCGCAAACTTTTACAAAGCCTGTTTTGTAGCATTTGTCGGGTCCAGAGCCGCCGTGAAGACTCCAGTGCCCCTGTGACAGTGTTCCAGACAAAGATTCGAAAGAAGACCAGACGGAAGCACCAAACTCCGAAGCCTACAAACAAGCGGACACTCTCGGTCGGTGAAACTCTGATAGTGTATGGTGCGACTCCTCTCAAAGGGCAGCTTCATTCACTTACAAATGTGCTCGGATATTGTAGGCCAAGATCTCGGTTGTTCAGTTTGTTTGGTATCGATGGATACGGGCTATTCCAAAAGCAAGTGTGGTATGCAACAAACATGATCTTTTAGAAACCGAGTCCACTGCACCAGGTCACGATACTGTATGACAGATACAAGTTGCATACTCACAATTTTTGGTCGACCCCATTTACACCTTCGTAGTCCCGTGAAAAAGATCTCATGTAGGGTCCATGCGATTCTATGGAATTTTCTCCCTTGTGATCGGCTGGATTGCGAGTCGCCAATGGCTTGCCATTGGGTCGGCTGTCCCAACGATTGACTCCGGTTTTCCACCCATACTTGGATGGTGAACTGTTGAAATTCCAGTACGTTGCAGGAACATGCAATCGGTTGGATAGTGGTAAACATGGAATGTGCGTTTGTCCGTCCGTTCGTTCCACTGACTGAACTCACCTGGGCCAAATACTTCGAGTGTCATCTTCTTGAGCAACAGTTTGCATGACAAACGTAGCGTAGATTTCATTCTTCGTTCCCATGACAACCTGACATTCATTGCAACCGTTCCATACAACAATGCTCGTGTGTGACGCAAGACTGCGCACCATATGCCGGATTTCTTGTTCAATGGTGGACGTTTCATGTGGTCCATGCTTGTTCTCGTCCACAAACATTTGATCATGGTAGAGCATAATACCGTGTTCATCACAGGCATCATAGAAAGACTGAGGTAATACTTTGCCTCCACCCCACACCCGAATCATGTTCATGTTAGCTGCCGCGGCTGATTGGACAATGATTTCATACGCTTTTTCGTTGTTGTTTGGCTTGTCGTCGTCAATATTGGCATCCTTAGCAACGCGTCCTTCAAGTTGATCATTTGGAATAATATTGGCTCCCCGAGCCATGACAAGTGCCCCGTTGATCCTCATGTACATTCCATGCAGTCCCGTTCCTTCTTCGTCCTCACTTTGTTCCTCCACACTCTCCTCGCCGCCTCCAATGACAGATTCATCATCCAAGGCAGTCTCGTTGATTGTCACAATAGCAAACGTCCGGAACCCTGAATCCACCGTTAGTGATTTGAAAGAAAAAGAGATTAAGTTGCCATCAAATGAGTCACCGTTCTAAATGGACGATTTGTACCCTCAAAGTCGCCCACTTACCAATTTTCTTTTGTATCCATGAGACTTCATCTTTCTCACTACTGCGCAAAGAAGTAGCGAGTTGTCTCTTGATGTTGGTAGAAGCCAAAGTAGCCATCTCTCCTTGATGATGCTTGTTGCTGTTACTAGAAAATCCTTTGTCGGCGAGAATTGCCATTCGGACTTGATACAAGGGCTGTCCTCCCATTCCATTGGGCCACCACAATTCTACTTGATCCTTGGACGCTGTCAGGTTGAACGTCATTACGGCATTGTTATTGTCCGACGTTTTGACCACCGGTCGAGTCTGTACTTGGGACGTGAAATCAGACCCGACCGAAAGGTGGTACTTTTGTTCCTTTGAAGCAGGCTGCTGATTGGTGGTGGTGAATTCGACATGAACTTGTAGTGCCACTCGAAAGTCGGCATCCGGGTGTCTCATGGGTTTTCTGAAAAAGGAAGAATGGAACAAGAAAGGAACAATTCACGTTAAATTGGTCTTGCATCACGAGTGAGACTCTTTATTCATTGATTGAGGGGCTCACGACGTACCTTGGCAGCGCAGCACCTTGGTAGTATACTTTGGGAACAACGTGAGTTACCAAGAATTGATCCGCCGCCACCAGATAGATGGGCGCCACAATGCCTCGGGTAAAGATGCGACGATTTTGGTCATCACATGCCCGTGTGTACGGGGCCCAATCCCATCCTCCCGCACAAGCCATGAATCGGCCGTCGGTTTCGATGGAAGGGTCAAATGTCACGGACAATGTATTGGTTTTTGCTGCTAGTGCTAGAGCTGTGGTGGGAATGGGGAGCGTGTACCGAAGAAACTGATCCGTGACATTGGCTAAAAAGACACCATTCCAAGAAATGGTAGCTCCCATTTGGAGACTTTCGACAACGAGATACCAGGAGTACTGGCTCTTCTTGTTGGGCAAATCAACATGGGCCGAGTAGCTCCAGACCCGCGTTTGTTTCTTCTGACACAGCTGCGGTGGTGGCTTGGGTTTTGTCGCGCTCTCGTCTGCTTCTTCTTCTTGTGGTGGTGGTTGTTCTTGTGGTCCCAACCAAATGTTTTCTTCCTTCCAAAGATTCAAATCCGTGTATGGATCATGAATGAGTCCGTTGTGCATCAGATCACTGACAAGGTCTCCTGGAACTCGAGCTGTGAAATTGCCTTGCCAGGGATCGCTCGGCTTGTCTCGATACAACAGTCGCCAGTCAGGACCTTGCTTGCCAAACAGCGGAACCACAATGTTGGTATCGGGGTACACTGTCTGCCAGGAGGGAGGAGATTTCACTGCCGCAGCAACCACAGGAACCACTAGCAGCAGCGAGGCTAGTAGAGTAAAGGACGTGAAACTCATCTTGCCTACTCCTACATGTAGCTCCCAGCTACCGGTGCTAGTCATCTTGATCTTGATGGATAGAGGCAACTGCAGTGATAATTTTCGTTGTTCTTTCTCACAACACGAAACACTGAGCACAACTCCAAAGATCCGCCTTGTTGCTCGGTTTGGAGTGGGGTGTCAGGAAAAGATTCGTAGAAAGATACTCCAATAGAGTTAAGGATTTCTGGAGACGCCCCACGCCCCGCACTTGCTTGTCCAGGATGCTGTTGGGCTACCATACGCCACAGAGAACCTTGAATGCAACAGGAAAGATTTTTTACTCTATGTTATGACGAGCTGATTTCTGGCAATACCTATGCTGGATTGTCCCGTTCGTACTTGCTTGCACCTACAGTAGCTAGCTAGCGTACGGTAGATGAAATCGAGGTTCTAGACGAATTGAACGCACTGCGACCCAAAAGCTTGTCTTCTCCTTCAAACCAGACGCACAGGAGGCCAAAGCAATGCAAGCCAAATCTCCAGCTCCATTGTGGTATAGACGAGTGTGGCAATGACAAAGCATTCCTCGAGCCTGCTGCGCTGGTGAGGCCATAGTTGTTGTGATTGTAAAGCAACTTGCTCAGTTCAGTCACTTGCTTTTTGCTAAAATCGTATGCCATAGTTGTTCCTTTTCCAGTAAGTCTTCCAATAACCAATGATGATGGACAGGAGACTGCGCGTAATATGTTCTCAAATGCACTTACAGGGCAGCCACAACTTCCAAGTTCCAAGAGCTCTTATTACATGTACAAGTTTGACAGATGATTGTGTCCTAGGATTTAGAGCATGTATAAACCAGCAGAGCGGGTTGTAGAGAGAAAAATGGACAATTCTGTCCTCGGGTAGGTTGAAGCACTAGCAGAGACATGATTCTTGGAGGCATGAAAACAAATCAGGAGACGAAACGTCTTGTTTCAACAACACCTAGCAAGGAAAGTAGAGAAGATGGAATCATTTGACATTGAAAAGTACCAAGATGAGTATGAACTCTTGGTACTGGAAAAACTGAAAGAACCATTGATCCTCAGGGAGATCCAAAAACCGCTGGTAGTCGGTGGCATTCCCTTGCAAAAAACTCCTTTGGTAGTAAGTACAATGGTAACAAGCCTCCTGCTGATGATTGCGCTGTCTCTTGTTTTGTGTAAAAACTAACTGTTTCCCTTTTTTGTGATTTCCCTGGTTCCATTGTTCCCTGTTCCTTTCTTCAAAAGCTAGTGCCATCTTATAGCTGGCTCCTATTTGGCTTGCATGTCTCATCCATACAGTAATAGCTAGCAGTGATGTTGCAATCACATCAGAAGCACTTGGGCTTGGAGCTGCTTGGTTATATGCATAGTAGTTTTGTTCCACGTGGATTGTTGACCATGTTGGATTTGTGATACATCAAACATTGAAATGATGTATGTGAAGGCATAAGAAGACAGTACTTCCAATAATGCTTCTATATCAAACGTGCCTTAGGGATAAGCTTTCTGACTGTTAATACCAAACATTGAAATGTATGAAGGCATAAGAAGACAGTACTTCCGATAATGCTTTTCAAGACTGTCGATTCAAAGGTGCCTTATGGATAGATTTCCTCGATAAACTTCAAGCCAACTTCCCCTAAGGCACGCGCACAGACGTCAGTCTTCGAGGTGCTTCATGCTCCACCTGCCTTTTTCGTTGCATCGTACCAGGCGCCACACAACTAATCGTAAAAGTAAGTGTGGAAGGAGGCATCGTGTCCATCCAAGCTCTCGCCACTTCTCCCATAAGACTTTTGACCTTACCAAAACCAACTTTCTGAAGTCGAGACAGTCGAGACCATGAAGCTAAGTTCTATTAGCTGTTGTATTCAAGGTATAGAGCATGAGCCAAAACAGAGAGCTATATAGTTTGGTAATGGTACTAGTACACAGAATGATCATTGAGGAAGCGCAGGGGGATACCCCCGCCTTCCAATGGAAGGGGAGCCTACCGCGGCACTGGCATGTCATCGCCACCATGGTTGGATATTTTGGAGATCAGGTCGGGCGAGAAGCAGAGACCTTCCTGAACCTCCATGATACCCTGAGATGAGGCAGCTACCGCCCAGAAATCTGGGCTACCTTGATGGGTATATTCCTCTGTCATCATCCGATCCGCTTGCTGGGTTGCTACTACAGTGGGCAAAAGTGCCAACAGCTGACTTCTAACCTCCTGTGGAATCCGAGGACACGCCTCGCAAAGGTGGACCTTGGTCAGAGCCAGGGATACCTCACGGAGAGAGCTTAGTCGCGAGGGGAAGGCTTGGTAGGTTGCGGTTGGAGGACTCTCACTCTGCACTGGACCTTCTGCGGCAGCGCAGTGACTGCACTGAATACCCACCTTCGAGGTAATGTCGGGCCGGCCCTTGGCAAGCATCTCCGCAGCGCCTACAGCTGGATTCGCAAAAAACTCCATCTGGTGACGAGCAAGGCATTCAAAAGGAGAGAAATGATCCCCGTCAAAACAAGGAATTGCCACGGGCAATCGCAGGACCTTGGCGTGTGGTATTTTGGCAGAGGAAACACCCGGAGCAAGGGCAGAAGGTTGTTTGTGCTGGGGCGAGCCCGGGAGTTTCAGTGCGTCCTCTTCGGGATCTTGGGGGGCCTTGAAGAAATTGCCATCCGATGAAGATGAAGAATCCACCGGAGCGGTGGAGCGGCCGAATTCGTCAAGTGGAATGAGCTGCGGGAGGCCAGCAAGTTGACTGCGAATGTCTCCGGCGGATATCTGATGAGATTGCTCGAATACCCGGAGATATTCGGTAGTCTCCGTGAAAGGTGGCAATCCTTGAGGCAATCCTTCCCCATCTGAGGAATGCAACCAATTCGCACGAGCGGGTACTGCTTGCCCTTGAACTTCATTATTTTCAGCTTCTACTTCCTCCTCCATGGGCACTGCGTCTGCTCCAGTTTGCACCACATCTCTGGCATTTCCAGCGAGACAGGCCTGCATAAATAAACTCTGAAAATCGTATGGCTGCCGAAATTGATGAAAGAGCAGGTTGGTCGCGGAAGTGGAAACGCTGTTTTGAGCTACCTGCGGCAACAAATGTGCATTATTGACTGGACGACGAAGCTCCTGTGGCTGTCCATGAATTTGCGGCTGAGGACCGCGCTCAATCTGCTGCTGATCACCAACAGCACGCTCAATCTGCTGACCTGCTAGGAATTCTACGGGTAGTGGCGGCACAGATGCGCCTTCGTGAACAAGGAGAGCGACATCATGATGCGTGAACGGAACCATACCAAAGGAGTTTGTCAAGCGATTTGACGCATTGCTGGACATTTGGCTTATGAACCGTTGCTGTTGACTCGCAGATAATGGCTCTGGGATAAACCACGCTGGAAGTGAGCTGACGAGGGCAACATTTTTGATTTTTTACTGGTTCCAGCCGAGAACTGGGAACTGGTTCCACCAACAAACAAAATCTGCGTAGCGCTTACCTGGGGGATCATTATTGTTTTGCGATTCATCATCATGCCGCCGAGAAGGCGCCTGATCCTGATTGCCTCCAGGATGTTGCCCCTTGTTATTATTTTGGTGTTCGTCCATGGACGCCTTGACTCAAGGGACTACTAGCTAGATGGATTGATGAGGAGATGAAAACCCCGGTTGAAAAGGAATTGGCCAAACAAGAAAGTAATAGAAAAAGATGAGGTCTCTCGAAGCGAAATGCTGCTTACCACCATTGGTTCAGCATACGCACCACGCACCACAACACAAACTACTGCGATTAGCTAGCTAGACTAGATATTAATAGGTAGCTAGCTCGTGAAATAGGCTTGAAGAAGGCTACCGGTAAAGTTAATCATTACCGGTATCGCCGAGAGCTGCCGAGCCGATTCTGCGAGAAACTTTCAGCCAATCCTGCTTGGCTGAGCTTTTGGCGCCGAACGCTTGGGGAACAGGAACGAAGCTGTCTATTATGGGGCTTTAACGATAACCCCTACTTCCTCACCATCATTCAACGACATAAAAGTGTAAGCTGATCAATAATTCCCAGTCAGGCACACCATTAAATACCGTTTGAAATGATCAATAGCTTGAAAACAGCTGCTTTACTTTTTTGCACTTTTCAACCTAAGCTAAAGCATACTTGGCATCGACATTCTCTCTTGTAGAGATCAGTGGTTGTTTTGGTTAAGCTACTGCCTCGGCAACCGAGCACGGGTCCTGAAGTGAAGCGGTGTCTACGTTCTTATATCAATTTGGAAATTCGCGAATTTCTGTCGCTGTTGAATTCATGTAAGGAACCCCATAGACTCGACCATGAACAGAGCATGAACAGCTGCATGAACACGGGAAAAATTGTCCATGCCACCATGCCAGGTAGTTTGATGTTTGATGCATGTGTGACTGACTGACTGACTGACTGCGGCGCTTGGGTGGCACATGTACAGCTGTGGCACAAGCTGGCATACAGAAACGATGAGAACGCGGCCCAAAACACGTGCAGAGGAGCTTTCCTGGTGAGTTAGTAGGAGAAGCTCCAGGAGATTCGGCAAGAGCAAACGCAACTTCATCATCTACATGTATCTCATCTGCGAGATGCCAGCAAACCACCTACCCGGAGAGGAAACCAAAACCCAGAGCATGCAACTGGGGGGCTTACTAGCACGTGTATGCAACTTCAGCCAGCCTGCTGAGGTTGAGGAAGATGACATTGTCTTCTCTACATAGCTACTGAGTGGCTTTAGTTTGGCCTGTCCAAGACAGCAGCAGAAGTTTGCTAACCTGCTACTGGCAAAAGGAACTACTAGCTAGTACCACCATCACAGCCAGTCAGTTCCATTAAATTTGTCAGCGTGCTACGAAAGAACAAGCAAAAGACGAGTGCGTGGCAGCTACCGGTACTATACCACCAAGAAAAGGGTGAAGGATTGACTTAAGCGCAACGGCAATCATAGCAAGCTGCCAGTGAAAAAAGAGAATGCGGTTTGTTTACCATCCACTTCTGATACCGTACACAAAAGCACGTATCCAACATTTTCAGCGTTGCTCCGAACAAGTAAAAGACGAGTGCGTGGCAGCTACCGTACCAGCAAGAAAAGGGTGAAGGATTGACTTTTAAGCCCCCGACGGGAATCATACATGCATAGTATCGCTGTGGTTGTGGGTTGTAGGGAGCATGGGGTGGGTGGGTGGGTGGAGACATGTAGTGCGATAATTGGCTAGTCAGCCACCGACTGAGGAATATGCATAGCTGCAGGTATGATATACCATACGATTTTAGCAAAAAGTGACTGAACTAAGTAAGTTTACTCACAAACTCCCGAGCTGCAGGTATGCTTGGCTGGGTGAACTGCCAGTGAAGCAAAGGCGAGATTGCGGTTTGCTTATACTTTAGGCCGCTCTCTACCGGAGCGACTAAAGTAGCGACTAAGCCATATTTCATAGTTTAGTTGATAGTTTAGTCTCTGGAGGTGGTGTCTACCCAAGCGACTAAACGTCGTACGGACTAAAGGCTTTAGTCCTTACGCTCGTTCACCGACTAACGGGAGGCTGGTTAGTCGGTGAGCGAGCCTAAGGACTAAAGCTTGTTTAAGAACTCTTTTAATGAAAAGAACAGCAAAATCCAACAGGAAACAATACCGGTACAACTGTATGCCACCGAGTTGGATAACAAATTCCAACAGGATTACCACAGAGGTGCCTCCATGGGAGTTCCTAGCCTCACTATTAGGCCATCCAATCAGTGCCAATAGAGGAGAGGTGCAAACGATCCAAACGATCGACTGAACGATAGTAGAGGTGCAAACGATCGACTGAATGATAGTAGAGGTGCAAACGATCCAAACGATCGACTGAACGATAGTAGAGGTGCAAACGATCGACTGAATGATAGTAGAGGTGCAAACGATCGAACGA